GACAGAGAAGGGAAATGTAAGGAATCCTACCTACATAATAACTTAACCCCACAACTGAGACCTACAGTCAGACACCGCGAGCTCAGCGGTGGGGCGCTCAGGAACAATCCCCCTAGGAGCGCGAAATCCCATAGGACTTCTGACGAGCACAGACACCCGTCAGAAGTCCCCCCTGAGGGGTTGATAATCTCGGCTTTCTAAGCATAATTATTATTTGATTTCCTCTGAGTTGGTGGCCAGGCTTGAAAGGCTTGGGTTAGACTAAGTAGAAAACCTGAACAATGGCTGACATCACATTTTAAATTGCGGGTGGATAGTACGTGCAGTGGTTACGGTACTTTTGGATTAGGAATTGAAAATAATAATACCTTCGATAATTTTGCAATAGGTACATGGTGATTCTAGCCACTCCATCGAACCACTCAATACTTATGAGGCCGAGATTCACTACTCGTACACGGAATGAGTAGTAAACTTACTTATAACAATCAGCTACTTTTTAACAAACACTCAAACTTTTAACAAACAGCTTCCTTGTGTTAAATCTCATCTTGGCAACTTTTAAGCCGAATAAAAATTGTTGCTCAACATTGAGCTCAAATCAAGAGAGTCAATTTAATTGCGGCAACCAATTAGGGAGGATTATTCAGCAAATCCGTCTCATATCGGGCAATAGGGGGCGCAGCCGTAGGCCCCAAATTTTACTCTTAAATAAGCTCTGGAGCCAACGCCTTGCTCCACCATGCATTAACTTTACTAAGCCTCAGAACTAGGAGCCGCAGACTACGCTTGAACTCCGTAATCCAGACAAGCGACACACTGCCGAAAGATAATAGCGCCGTTGGTCTTCATCCAATGCTTAAGCATGCTCGCTCGTAAGCAAGCAGTTCTCCATCCGGCTGTACCTACTCCGGCCTAATCTATTCACGCTGTCCTGGCTCACATCCTTCTTGCAGCCAATGACAGGCTCTACCAGCACACTTGGACCGCCTTTCTAACTTCTTGCAGCCAATGAGGTTAGGTTAGGTCCGCTCAGGTTTGTTTTGGGTGGAGAAAGGTTGTAACTCGTATAAATTAGGACTGAAGAGGTTTGGCCAGATGCAGTATGGCCATGTTTACATTTGGCAAGCTTATTTTGTGGCTGTGGACATCCGGCGCTATGCCTTTGAGCACTTGACTTCATAGGCCGTTATGCGCTCTAGCGTTCTTACCTATGGAAAGGAATATGAACCAAGTGTGAAGTTTGGCTAAGCTGGCCTCCGGCATGCGCCCCGGGCAAGAATGAGGGGGGAAAATCCGGTATTTTTTCAAGCAGGAGGGAAATCAGGTATGGAATTATTTCATAATTTGTTTTCTGTGCTATATCATGTCTATGCAATTATTGTGAGTGCAGCAGCTTCTTATATTATCACTTCAAATGATGTCACGCAATTTAATTTATTTATTCCGGCTTAGAGAACTTCTCCGTTGGCTCAATAACGATTAAACGATAGGGTACGCACACAGTGGAAGCAGGTTGCCAGCGTGCTGGTTACCTGCTCAGGCTGGCGCCTGAAACCATAGAACACAGAAGCCTATTCGTACAGGTTTTCACTGTGAACACTAACATTATTATCCTATGTTCATTCTTGTGGCAGGTTGGAGCAGGTTGCCCGCGCGGGCAAACCTGCTTCCACTGTGTGCGTACCCTTATGTACCAATATCACCGTTGCCACCACAGGGCAGATGGAGCCTAGAAATTCACAGTTTCTACAAATGGAAACACCAAAAAAAGATAAGGATTCATTGCGGTGAACGCAAAATAACATAACTGGGACCAATGAAGCGCTGGATTCGCGCACATTTCGAGTGATCGAGCTGGTTCGGTCTTGTTGCTTAGTGACATGTTAGTTTAGTGGCCAAATGTTTACTAGCGCTTCCGCTATTTAGCTATCACGCACCGGAAGTCGAGATGAACATCAACAAAGAGGCGGAAGGTGTCAGTTATCAAAAGTTCCTCATGGCAAGAATTGTTCCTCATTCACAAGGGGTGGAAGGTCTCTATTGTCCAGCCCGCTGAGGCTGGCTGAAAGAAACAACGTTAGCATCTCAAAGAGACGAAGTAACAAGGAGGGACAGGTGGAAAGCAACAGAAACGAAGACACTTAAACAAGAGGTCACTTATACAGGAAGACAGAGAAGGGAAATGTAAGGAATACTACCTGCATAATAACTTAACCCCACAACTGAAGCCCGCAGTCAGACACCGCGAGCTCAGGGGTGGGGCGCTCAGGAACAATCCCCATATGAACGCGAAATCCCTAAGGATTAGTGACATTTCATCGAAAATGACGCAGACAATTTTAGCGCATTTTATCTTAAATTCTATGTCGAGACTTAGCTGACCTAAAATTTTTGCATACCCATAAGAAATTTTAATCTAAGAAAAATGACCAAAATATCATTGCAGTCTTTCAGTGGTCTGCGCAGTTGCACGTAATCAAGCAGAAAATTTCACGAAACTGGTAAGTAAAACCTAATATGGAGGACACAATCAATTTTTATTACATAAAAACGGATAGTAAGCTACATCGTATGATACCTTTTAACGCAGAACATATAACCAAGAGGGCCCCATTGGTGAAATTTTTTCTAGCGATAGAACTATAGAGGGACACAAGCATAGGTTTCTATATACGTCACAAAAAATATATGATAAAAATGATACACACGTCAAGATACTCCGTTGCGAATCATAGCAAATGACACTGACAGTCGTAGCATGGATCGGAAGGTGTCGTATCAAACAGTCAATCTGGTCTGACCAACGCATCGGTGTCTGTCTTGTCGTGCAAGTGTTCATTGGAGCTGAATATAACAGATATTCCGTTGACGTACTATTATTTGTTTTGATTAGGTGAACTGGAACGAATACCTACTGAACTTTGGCAGCATTCCGGTCAAAATTAATCAGTTGTGTCCCGTGTTCAAACATAATGCGAATAGATACAGCATCAACTGGGCACTCACGAGGCACATAGGCAACCGCCATAAAGAGCTTGGCAATAATGCATGCTTCTGTTCATCGCGTCGCGCAATCGATAACACATTACAATAACCAGGTACCCGCATCACGGACTAATCTCTAAGTAAGTGAAATCGCTGTCATCCATTTAATTTTGCAAAATAATCAAATGCATATATATCCATTAAACTAACGATCTCATCCAGATCAAGATCTAGTTTTAAATTTCAATACATTAACGATACCCGAATATATTATTCTTAACCAAGACGTGCAAGTTTATGGATGGGTAAAGATGAAAGACTTGCAACAGCAAGTAAACTGAAGAAACCGTCAATAATTCATCAATAATTTCAACTTTTGAATCATACTGGTCAATTAATAATCTGCGATAGCAATAATGCTATCACACAAAGCCCAAGGCTACTCCAAAGAAACTTTGGTGTCCTATCAATCAAAACTTGAGGTGAAAGAAATAGACAAAGCTGTTGAAATAGGAAGGACCCTAACAATCCATCAAACAACTGCACCTTAAGTGTTGGTATTGATCTAATAAATTTTCAAAAATAAGCTACCAACAAAGCAAAAGCCTTATTGATTACGAGGTGTCTCCTAAAATCAGAACGAGGTTTTGTTGCAGGTTTGATCGGATGTTGAAAGCACAAATAGGTACTAGTATAATATCAATGGCGGGAAAAGAAATTTTGGACACAAAATGACTGATAAGCAGAATTTTAAAACAATGGCACAAAAAATTTGAGTGCCACGGCACTAGCCCCACCATTCAGCTCCCCCTAAGATGAATTGTGATTTGGCTCGCAACAGCACCCGATATTGCCACATGCACAATTCCTTCATGAAGCAGTTGACGGAGCCAGTTTTGGCTGCTGGATAATAGAAGTTTTTCTGATAGGAACGGTGTCAGGTGTGGGGATAGCCTCGCCAGTGCTGTGTGCCAGCAGGGGAGGCATCCGAGACTTGTTGTTGGGTTTCTGGAGGGCCATCTGGTAGTCACCGCTATCAAAATATTTTTGCTGTAGACAAATAAAAAAATCTGTTACTAAAAAGAGAGGATAAGTTAAAAACATGGGCTGTTAAGTTGAACAATTAGTGAGCAAGTTACCTTCCAATTCTACAGTATGGAAAAATCTTCACAAAAAAAAAAACCACTACACAACACCAACAAGACAAAAAAAATACCACCACACAAAACAAAACCACATCATAACATCCCACCAACAAGAAAAAAAAAAACAAAAGAATCAGCGAACAAAAAAAAAAAAACAGAAAAAACAACAAATGAACCAACAACAACATTTATAATAAAAAAAAACATTTTTGAATGAAACAAATAATATATTATATACATAGCACCATTTGTAAACCAGTCTGTTCATAATTCTATATAAAAATGTAAACTGTAGTGGCTGTATATTATAAATTAATCAACTGCTCTTTTCACGGTATTGAAAAAATAGGTAATATTGATCACAAGTATTTTAACGTTAGTCACATTTCAGACTCGGCAGGAAAGTTTTCCATATTCCTCTGACAGCTTCAAGGGATTAATTATGCACAGCAAACTACTAATAACAAAGGAAATGGAATAACTAATAAATTTGGACTTGAAATAAAAATTCAGGAGCAACTAAATTTAAATAATATAGTAAATCAAAAGGTTGTAACAATTTTACTAAAAAATAAATGGGTTCTGTATTACATCATCACCTTATTGGCAGATGGAAAAAATTTGTAGTTGTCATTATTTATATATTTTGTGGCATATATCAGTAAGGGTAAACATGTTACAAACCCCTTTGCCAAGCCTTTTTTGCAAGAATGCCGAGTGACCAGCTGCTGGCCTCCCCATCATCCCTTGTGGCAGACGAGCCTTCAATTTAGCTTCCTCTGCTGCCTCAATGCTGCGAGCAGTCTGCACAGCATTAAAAACATTAGGCTTGATTCTTATTAACAGTATGGTTGAAACTCTCATATAATTAAAAACTTGATTCATTATTTATATTATAAAAAATTTATTCAAATCAGTAAATTTGAAATGCAATATTATGCAATTCTTATATTTGTAATTACATCAACAATATTTTCTTATTATTATAGAATATAGATCTATTGTAAATACTATGGAGAGAGCTTGGCCCCTTTCAAATGTTTTATAATTTATTCCTTGATTTACTTTTAAACTCAGCATCATGCCCTGAAACTATAAACAATTGTTGAATCAAAATGCTAACTTTCTCAGAGTAAATAAAATAGTAGACTGCATTGGTTTACTAATATTTTTACCCATTTGCAAGCTTGGTTTAGTACAGGCATATAAGCTAGTCAACGATTAAAGAGTTTCACTAAGCATGTTACTTGAAGTTTCCCATATGCACTTGTCAAACTATATTAATTTCCAAGGCATTTATAACTAACACAACAAATGCCGTAACATTTAAATCATCACCATTTCATCTATGTACAGTGATCCCTAGTTTATAGCAGGGGCATGCATTTCACAGACACCTGAGGGAAAATTTCTGAAACTCATTTGCCATACAATTATTTGCCAATTGCCATGGCTGAGAATCCAGTAAAATGTGAATACTCCCATCACATGAATTGTTCCATTGGTATTACCATACCGTCAAACGGGGTAATAAGGGACGGTTTTGAGCTTTTTTGTTAATAACTTGTTACCCTGAAACATTTCATAAACAAGTTTGGGCCCATTTTAAAGGTCTTTGCAAGGGCTATCATATGGCATCTTCAAAAAATTCCATATACTATTCGTAAGGTGCCAGACGCAATATAAAAGCCTCCCGAATTTTTCTGGGAATGGGGTAATAAGAGACACTTGAAATAAAACTTGATTTTAAAATATTTGAAGCATGCTGAGTGTACTCATCCATTACTAACAGTACCCTAAAGTCCTCCTCTTCCTTTGTAGATGATGTAAATTGTAAATGTAGGATAAATAACTTTTCTGCGATTTTTACTTGTTTTTTTTTCTTTGTTGATATATTACCATATCCATAAATTATAGTATTATTGATGTGATATTACCATATTCATGGACATGCCATTGAGCATTGCATTGACAATGACCTTGTCTGCTGCAAGCATCATATCAGTAGCCATATAGCATTTCTTCTGTATCTGTAAGCTTACAGGACAGCTTGTAATTGCACACCATTTTAATTGAGTCAAGTGATTTCACTATAACAAGAGATTTAAAAAACATACCTGAAACAGGAAGGAATATTTTAATGACAACCATCATATTTTTTGGAGAAATAAATCATAGTTTAGGTTACTTACTTTTCATTCTTTGCTGCCCAGTGCTCAATTCTATCTATGACATTCTATGCACAATTTTGTGATGCCTGATGATGCATTAATTTTTGTTAAGTGAAATTTTTTTCACTGAACAAGTTAAATGTAATCAAAATTCTTTGTTAATTGATTTTTTTGTTAACTGGAGAATTTGCAAACCAAGGTTCAAGGGTTGGTGATTGTTTTGATTTTTTTTATATAAAAAAATAAAAAAATCAGGTATTTTTTTAATTTTTTCATGATTTTTTTTTATTCATTTGATTTTTTTTCATTTTTTTCAACTTTTTTGTCTTTTGGAAGTGTTATTTTTTAAGTTGCAATTAGCCTACTTACAATAACAGTATATGGATCATAATGGATGGGTAAAAAGGGCACTTATTGCCTTCAATAATGGCCAACAGGCCAAGGTGGTGTTTACCACTTAGGGATTTTTGGGTAAACAATTATTGACAAGTCTATTCATTAGCTTTGTAAAGTTTGTATGGAGCAAGGTAATGGGCTAAATATTGACCATTTAATTGGCTTCAATATACAAAAACACTTCAGGAATGCAGATCTTCTAAACATTGATGAGTCACATAACAGATGGTAGCTGATAGCACAGTGCATAGCACTATCAATGGATCTTCTACTAGTTTCATGTCCTATTAATCTACCAGACTCTAGCCTCTATACACACCGACTAGTAGTGACTGAGTGACTGACTGCACTGTTCCCATTTAATTCAGACCAATAAACCAATACTAAACATAAACTGAATGATAAACAAACCTCATACGACTTGAAACGAGACTTAGTTATGAGAAAATCAATACTGTTTGAAATAAACATGTGCACAATTCAAATATTTTATATCCATTCACTGCATTAAATTATTTTATATATAGTCTTATAATTGTAATTGTTTTGTTTCTAGTTTTAAATTCACATATTTAAAGATTGAAATTGAATATTATAATAAGAATACTCATATTAGGGTGGAAAATCTTTCTAATTGTCTAAAACAATCTCAACCTCTCAATATACAGGGTGGGTGAGAACAGATTAAGCAGTTTTGAGGTAAAATAAAAGAGTAATAGAGGTACATAAAGAAGAAAGTTTATTTTCCTAGAGGTTAGCATAACATACCTTTTAGAATACTTATGTTTTGAAAACAATATCTGGAAGATGGGGGCCATTAGCAGCAACACACTGTTGGAGTCGTTCTCAGAGTAGGGAGTAACCGTAACAGTGAATTCCGATCGCTATGCTGCAATGTTGCAAAATTTCTTGCAGCCCATGATGGAAAACATTTTCGAAAATGATTAAATGAAGCATTGGGAGATGTGTTGTTCCAGCAGAATGGGGCTACAGCTCACACAGCCCGAATGTCACTCAATGTTTTGAGACGCTTGTTTCCCGGACGTCTGGTGTCTGTGAGGGGTGATTTACAGTGGCCTGTGAGGTCACCTGATGTGAGCATTTGCGATTTCTCTCTTTGGGGACATCTAAAAGAAAGGTGTTCAGAAGTTGCCCTCACACCATACCACAGCAAGGGAACGGATTATTGCAGCAGAGGTTATGGCCATGCCTTGCCATATGTGTGAATGTGCTGTAGAAAACTTCTGAGAACGACTCCAACAGTGTGATGCAGCTAACAAACCCCATCTCCCTGATAATGTTTTCAAAACATAAGTATTTTAAATGGTATGTTATGCCAATCTTGAGGAAAATAAATTTTCTTCTTTATGTACCTCCATTACTCTTTTATTTTGCCTCAAAATTGTTCAATTAGTTCTGCCCCACCCTGTATAAGCTAGCTAACCCATTTAAATTGGATATTGTAATCAATATATAACAAATAGTCAAATAGTTAAAGACTACTTATAGCCTTATAAGAATTAGCTAAGCTGCTAGCTACGTACAATGTATTGCACACATGATGCCTCTGTACCTAAAACATTCAATTTATTGGAACCTAATACACACTAAAGGCAACAAGTTTATATACCAATTTGTCATTCATAGTACATTTATACTGAACCATGAATAACAATACCTCAATATAAATTAAAGACTGCCACTCAATATATTTAAATCTATGAAAAAATAAAAAAAATTGAAAAAATCAAAAAAATCATGATTTTTTATAAAAAATCAAGTGATTTAATCACATGATTTAATCATTGCCAACCCTACAAGGTTCTACTGTTAATGCATTTTTAGGGGTGTTCATTATTACCCTGGGAAGGTGTCCCTTATTACCCTGGGAAGGTGTCCTTTATTACCCTGTTTTGCAGAAATGGCCGCCATATTTTTTTTTTTGTAATGAGATATGCAAATTCTGTCAATCAGGTTTTTAGGCCAACACCAGAATGCAACTTATATGTAAGTAAAACTTTTTAATATAACAATTTTTTTATTGCTACAGACCTTAGTAGAGGTACTTTTCCCAAAATCTCACTTTTCACACTTTTTTCCAGGGATTTTTTTAGAGGTAATAAATGTATGATTTCTTAGCTTGCTTTATGCTACATAGATAGTAAAAATGTTGAACTTTATACCACTATTTTTAGTTTTGCAAAATTTTGATTAGTTTAGCTGCTACAACAATTGTACAAAATGTCGGAGGACTGTCCCTTATTACCCCACCCATCCCTTATTACCCTGTTTGACGGTATGTAACCAAGTCTATCTGTGAAAAGATCTATGAGTTACAGCCATAATAAAAAATTAATATAGAATGAAATTATCATGTCCCACATTTTTTTCTCAGTATTCAACAATAACAAGTGTTAAGTGTAAAATTTTGTGAGAATTCAACAAGAACGAAAGGATATTTCAAGTCTATAATGGCCACATAATTATAATTCACATGAACAAAATAGTCATCATTTTTAATTTCACATATGTGTACCAAGTTTGGAGATCCTTTCCTAAATATAGAAAATAGATTTTGACTGACATGCTCCCCTTAATACTATATACTATATATAATTTACTATATACAATATACTATATATACTATTTACTATATACACTATATAATATTTAAAGGAGTAATACCATACCACTATGTTATAAACAAGTGATACCACTATGATTTTAATAAGTGACACCTACATGGTTTAAACAAGCGATGTCAAGTTTCTCTGCAGTCAACCTAGTTGAAAAATTTTATGACACACTTATACACAAGCTGGGATATCAAAGCTGGACTGTTGGTCATTCATTTACAGACGGACCAATAAGAATAGAAGCGTCAGCACAGAAGAAATAGGCCCATGGTCGGTTGCCAATTCTTGTACTTTTCTTGACTTGATTCCACAAGGGATCCATCTGGCCTTTTGAACCCGATCTTTCCATAACTGATGATTGTTTGAGATACCTAGCTGCTAGACTAATTGCCAGGTCTATATGGAGCTAGGCATTTAAAGACTGAACATATTTTCCTGCATAGCTTTGTCTAGTCTGTTCTTCAAGGCATTCATACTCAGAGTGTCAATGATGCTATCATGGAGGCTGTTCCACATGTCGGTGACTCAAAGCAAGAAGAAATGTTGATTTATGGATGAGTTACAGTAGTTTTTTTTAGTTTATAACCATGGCCTCAGTTTTTGGATCTTGTTTCAAATTCTAGGACTCCTTCTGGGACTTCATATAAACTGTGGGTATACCTGTATACTTCAATGAGGTCACCATGCACATGTTGATAACAGAGGCTTGGAAGCTTCATAAGCTTTCTTCATAAGGTTTTCCTTTAAATCCCAGAATTATTACTGTTGCACCTCTTTGAACACTCAATTAAATTTTTGTCTTTTTCTAATTTTAGTGATCACACAGCATTTCCAAACTCTAGGTTTGGACACAAGACAGCAACAAACAATTGTCTTGGACCAATTTAGGGCTGGACTTGCGGCCAGTTGCACAGCTAATCTCTAAATTCAGTGACCAAGGAATATCTCCCAAGCTAATACATCATCTGTATAAAATCTATTAAAAGCACCTGCAATGGCAGAAAATTCTATCTATTTTATTCAACTAAATTAAATTTGTATCAAATTGTTGATATTTCTATTTTGCAACCCTTCTTTCCTTCACGTAATAATTGTGAAGGTAATTTTTGTTGTGAAGGTTTAAAAATTGTGAAGGTTTGTCTTGATGTACAAGGGTGCTAAATCAGCATAAGGATAAATGGTTTGTTCTCATGATAAACATTACCTATGTTAATTGAGAATTTGTAACATGTGAGAAGGGCATCAATTGACTAGACACATTAATCTAGTTGCGGTCACATGTGTTTCATGGTACTGTTTTTCTGACATGTAGGCTGAACTCGTCTTCTCTCCAGATTCCATTAGATGATTTTAAATCAACAAAAATGAGGCCGTGCATAACAGTCTCAAACTCTAAGTAGACCGTGATTGCAACTGTTAAAGTGTCAATTGAGTGACAGTTAATCACTGCGCCAGTAGGACAATTCTCCGGCAGGCCTTCAGATTTTTAGTAAGCTCAAAATATTTCCCAGACCACTGCAGATGACTAATACCAAAGTAAAAAATGTTCAAATTCAATGTTCATTCAAAACGCAATACGACTCACCACGTGTCGGATGTTGCCACACAAAGTGACGGAATATAGGGATTTGGTAGGTTTCCATTCTAAAGGCTTTTTAATAAATATGGCAACATTTTGTGACGTTTCATCATTGCTNGGCGGCGCCCCCCATTTGCAAACTATGACACTTTCCTCAAGTTTGTCATTTGCATATGTAACTAGAAGAGTTCTACTACAATGCAGTATGCAGTCCATAGTGGCAAACCAGTGATATTTTAGAATCAGTTCATTTTTAATTTCCTCATTTACTCAAGATTTTAACATATTTCTTATGTATGATAATTCTGGTATCCAAGATACATTCCTGGTCTACTTATAGGACTCAAAAATGAACTTGAGGAAGAGTCTAAAAAACTCTCTGCTTTGCCACTATGGTATGCACCAAAACCTGGAGTTATTTGGAGATAATTTACCAAAAAATATAATTGATTTTACCACCCGGTCTAAGTTACCCCAGGAGTCTAAGTAACCCCCTTTTATGGTACCAGGGTTGGAGATGATCCTTCCCTAAATATAGAAAATAGATTTTGACTGACATGCTCCCCTTAATACTATATACTATATATAATTTACTATATACAATATACTATATATACTATTTTTAATTTTTTTTAATTTAGCCCAATAATTCAGATTGGATCTTTGGAGGCTGGAGCCATAGAGTTGGAGGATACCCTCAGAAGGAGAAGCGGTTAGCCAGCCAATCAAATCAGATCGCATTTGAAGCTCTATTCACTTTCAGATTGGAGATTAGAACCAAAACCTCTTGTTTTTAATCCTTGAATTGTTCTTCATCAAGTCTCTTGAGCTTGAATAAGAAACACCTACGCAACATAGGCCTAATGGAAACTGTCAAAGTGTCAATGTCCACATATTCATAAGGCCAACAGTGGCAAAAAAAATAATAAACAACTAGGCCTACCTCTTTAGATTCCTCCAAAGTATCCTTATCACCAGAGTCTTCAACTGGGCTGTCAAGCTTGTTTGATTTCTCCTCAGAATCAGCCATTGTCTCTTTTTCAAAGAGTCACTTTAGACTGATACAATATTGTTCTAATTAAATAATTTTATATCGCGCAATAGACTGCCTTTGTAAGCAGTACAACTGCCAAATTCTGTTCAAGTCTTCTTCTTCGTCTGAAGAGAATTTGCAGTTATGGGCAGAAATGTCGCACGGCCAGCTGTTGTGATGACAGCAGTAAGTAAAATTATCCTTTTTAAATTTTCCAGAGGAATAAGAAGTCTTATATTAATTTTCTCCTAGACGAATTTCTTCAAGTTCAGATCAAGGAAAATTATGGAAAGCTACTATAATAATTTAACCGTAATGCAGGGAAAGGAACGTACAACATGAGGGTAAAGCTTAGACTAGGGAAAGATGAATTTTAACTTCATCTAGATTCTAATTGTAGTTAATTTTATATAAACGAATTCTCCCTAAAAAATTTCCATGCTTGCTTCGAAATTGAAAATGCCTATTTTTATACAAATTTCCTGCAGTGTTTGTGCACAGAATAAGTGTGAATTGACAAGTTTGCGGTTGCAGAAGACCGTGATGAATACTAACGGGTACGAAACGCAAACAATGCAAGCTTATTTATTATTGAATAAATGTGCCTGGCATTTGCTCCACGTCTCATGATATTTATTTCGATTTTGAAAAAAAAACTGACTGCAACCTTAGATGCGTTTGACATATATGATATATGTAATTTTGTAACATGCAGCTCAATATGATTAAAAGGTAAATTCAGATGAAGTACATCATTCTACCATCAAAAATACCTTACATAACTAAATTAAAGATGAACTTCGTAATACAGTCTGGAATCACGTGCGCAAATTTCAAATTTGATTGAAATGTACTACTTTACTAACATAGATTCAATCCAAAAAGGTGAAAAGTAAGCAATGTAAAAAATTGCCAGAATTTCTACACATACTTACTTCTCGTACTACAGTAAGTTACTTTTGAGTGACGTCTGTACGTCATCACGACTGCACGGGTGAACACGGAAAAAGTATCATATCTACACTACAATATATTAGCGATGCAAAACAATACGATGCTAATTTGTTTTTTGATGAAGATGAAATAAAAAACAATCCATGCTATATTTTTTGTAGTTCCATTACCGAAAGTGCTTTTCAAATGTACGATCCCAACTCAATTCACCGCATAGAACAGGACTGCTTCTACCAGTTTCCCGATGAAGATCAGTTACGGTTTTCACAATTGAGGCAACAGACCAAGAAAAAGCGCAGCGTGGGATGTGCTGCATTAAAATAAAGTAAAATTCCACTGCTAGCTACAGACCAGTCTCAAAATGTGACAAAAAAAGTTACTCGGAGGAAGAACGGTATTTATACCAGTATTAAGCCTGGCGAAAGACGGTCTCCCACTACCCCAAAAATTTCGCTATCCGTCCATGACAGCAAGCGACTCTGCAGCCAAGATGAAAAATTAAGATCATATTTCAATTCTTCTTCAGTGTAAGAGGATTTGTTCAAGAATTAATTATGGACAGTCAGTTAATCTTCAGAAGCTTATCAAAATCACCTGCAACACAAGCAAGGAGAATATTAGCATTCGTATCTACCCTCGGAGGATAACTAATCTTCGTTGCAGTATAATTCATCAAATGAACACATTGGGCAAAAATCTACCAGCCAAAGTCGAAGATTGTCGATCGCTTCATTCCCCAAAAAATCTGAAGACTAACAATTCAGTTAATTGTTCTAAATTGATCCCAGTACCAGATATTCCGAAGTTAATGAATCGACACAAAATCATTCCGCGTCTTTAAATGGATCGTTCGACGATTTTGAAACGGCAATTGCTGATTCTTTTAAATCCAGTCCAGAATCTCAACTCGATTTATGCATCCAGTAGCGCAGGTCTCAAGCAAGTCTGAACCAACAGTAGGAAATAAATGATTCTGGATTAACCCTCACTTCCTAGAGTGTAGGAACTCAGCCAATAAGCCATCTCGCGAATAGGATTGGGAGCACCGCATCGAATATTAGTAAATTCAGCCGTGAGCAAATGGGCTCCATTTTGAATTCTCTTTCAACGAAGATGATAAATATTCCTTTTATATAAAATAAAAAATTGATAAGCATTTCTGATGCATTAGCCAGGGTTAGTATTATGTAGACATTTGATCTATAACTGCATCTACATTCAGGCATCGGTCTACCTTCCTCAGACCCAGATGGATTGAATGATCCTTTCATCAGATTTTCGATCCAAGACCAGTTTGTAACTTCGACCGTTGTGCAAGACTCTCTTATACCCTAATGGAATCAAACGCTCACGCTTTCAAATATTTTTCTCTCATCGTCGAAACATGGAATGAATGAGTAGTTACCTATAATTTATGTGTTTGATGAAGATGAACGGTCAAATGAATTCGTCGGTATGTCACTTGCTGTTGTAGATGCCGGTATACCTAATTTGAGTTGGAAATCTCTGAAAAACCTGGATAGTGACGACGTTGGACAAATTTTGTGTAGTACGGTGTTAAATAATCAAGACTCATTTGAACAGAACTTGGATGTAACTGATGGCTTGCCGAGTTATCTCGTGCCGCGTCAGCAAGAGGCTTCCGTAGAGTTTCTGTTGTGGGGCTTACGAGAACTGCGCATCAAGAGCAAGGCAGTCACTCTCAAGTTTTCGCTGAGCGGCAACCATGCGAAGACCAGCATTTTACCGATACCAAATAAACACGGTAACAAAATAGACTGGATAAACTTCCCACAAAACGATCAAGTTCAACAAATTTCTCTCACGCTACCAGTAGAGGAAACTTTCCTCCCGTCCTTCTAAATATCACTGGAAAATGAAAAAGGGAACGTAATTGCTTCTTATGCACACGGTGAAAACATAGGGGAGTTCAGATACTAACAACTCGGTTCAGACGGGACTAGCATGCTCTACCTAAATGACCCAATAAAATACCAGTTATTGGAAGAACAGCAGAATATCATTAATTTAGAAATGGAAGAAACTAAATCTAACCACAAAGCTGACTGGTGGAGCAAATATAGCCGATCTCGCGGAAAGCCTGGCGACGAGCCTTCCGAAAACGGCGTGCTGATCGTCTATGAAGGAGAGCTGGAAGGACCTCATTGTTTCGCTGGATTCTCTGATATGTTACGGGACGCAACTCTGTCGAGTCTGTCAACCAGCAGCAAGCGACACCGGGTTCGCAAAGACGTATGTTTGTTGAAGTATGCCCTTCACTGGGACTTCAAAACAAATAACGATGAGACACCGACTAAAAATACTCATGTTCAACAAAGTGAACTACCAATGTTCATGACTAATTATCTTCATGACTCGATGCCTGTTTCTGGACGCCACGTAACCGCTAGAATTTACATTATAGAAGCCTTAAATCTTAGGCCTGTCGAAAAATAATCGTTGCGTCCATACATAAAAATAAAATGTGGAGCAAAGCCAGCTGAAAATGATTCATATCCTGGTAGCCGATCTTTGAGCCCAGTTTTTGGAACGCTAATTGTTAAAAACCTGCTTCTTCCAACAGAAAACCGATTAGAAATAATGGTTTATAGTGAGAACATCATTCGTAAAGACGATTTTCTTGGCTCAACTGTCATTGAACTGGAGAATCGTTACTTCAACAAAGTTCGTGGTCGTTGTGGCGTGCCCTACAGATATTCGGAAAGTACTTGGCGCGACCACCTCTCGCCGTCCGATCTGCTACAGGAGATCTGCCGTCTGCACAACATCGGTTCTCCGACGTGGCTCGACGAGTTAAGAGTCGTTGTTGCTGGCCATGAGTACTGTCATTCCATTTGTCTAAGTAAAGATTCTCTGCAACAACTCAAGTCTTCCATTGAACTCTGCTAAAGGGACTATACAATTCTCAGGCGCGATATTCCTTCCTGCTTCCTGTACCGATACAAATCTGTGGCTGTTTTTAAAGGAGAAATAAGCTCATTTGACCGAGCAGATGATCTCAAAGTAATGGAAATGCAAGACATTTATTTGCAATCGCTGTTATTTCTTCACTCTAGCCAAACAAGTGCAAGGACTGAGAAACTATCTCAAAGTCCGGCCCTCCTAAACATTTCAGGAGAAGCAGGGTCATCCTGTAGAATTTTCTCTCAAGGCTCTTCTTCCAACACTCCCCGGCACTCATAATAATTTGTTGAACAACCAAGTTTAGCAAATTCAAGCTCCGTCGCGTCGCATTTTGTATTTACTTAATCGTCGACATCATCATACCAAGAGTCATCTTAATTGATAAAGAATATGAAATATCAGCTAGCGCTGGACATCTTGCACGTACACCTGCCCATGAGGTTTTAAGGGATACGAGTCGTTCCGGAGCACGTGGAGATGCGCCCTCTTCGACGGCCTGACCGTGCCAACGAAGTGTGGGGAACTTTAGTCATGTGGGTTGACCTGTTTCCAGGGGAAGTGTAGTAGTTACCGCCACCAGTAGACATCAGACCTCGCAAGGCCGTAGCTTTTGAGTTGAGAGTCATCGTTTATGAGGTGCACAACGTCGTCTCATCCGAAAAACAACCTGATATTTATGTCGAAGTGCAAATTCCTGAGATCGAGCCGCGTCAATTGGCTAGAACTGATGTTCATCATAATGTTCATGATGGTGTTGCAAAATTCAACTATAGGCTTGTCCTGAAGAATTTATAGTATTAGGAAATATAGCGGAAGCTGTAACTCGAAAAAGACAAACAGATTGAACCTCAAATATTACTAAAAATGTTTGATAAAAATGCGATTCGAAACGAAGAATTAGGATTCCTCGCACTTTCACTCACAAATCTACCCTATCTAGGGAACAAAAAGCACCTGGCCACAAAGAATAATTTTGAGGAAGCGTAGCACTGCTATAACGTCTTCCACCCGTCGGGCTCCCCATAGGACGCAAAACAGGGCTTCTGGCCCTTCATAAACAAAAAGGGGGAGATAACAGGAGTGATCCGCATGGAGCTGTAGGCGTTCGACGAAGAGTCTGCTAAGATCTACCCCGGCGTACCTGGGAACAGCCCTGTTCCCGGCAACCAAAATCCTTTCCTAGAGAAGCCAAAACGCGTGTCGAACAAGAAACGCATCATCCTCCGGATCTTGCTGCTGCTCGCGATCGTGATTGCGACTGTGTGCTTGGTCGTGTTCCTGGTGCTCATGGAGGAGTCATACATTAAGGAGATGATCAAGAGTAAAGCTTTTCCTGCTTTTGACTTGCTGCCGGGGGAATGATAGGATAGAGAGGAATGGACAGAAAAACTGATAGAGAAATGTTTATAATTTATAATATATTTTAATTCGGTTTATAATGAAGGTAATGTGAATATTCTGATTCGAAGATATCACGCCACATCCTTATATTCTACGAGTAAGAAGCTTCCTGGCTAAATGAGATAAAATGGTCTTCGAGAACAGAATAGACTTCCGATGCAAGAAATATTTGTAAGTTTATATTGATTAACCATGCTAATAAAGCCGAAAACATGTGTCTAGTTTCTTTTTAGTACAATAAATTATGCTTCCATTTCAAATGCATTGGAGATAACTCACGAATGCCTTGAAGAGAACTCTTAAAAATTCTTGGAGAGAAATTACAAGCCACCATTAAATTATGCTTCCATTTCAAATGCATTGGAGATAACTCACGAATGCCTTGAAGAGAACTCTTACAAGTTCTTGGAGAGAAATCACAAGCCACCACAAAATATATTTTGTCCATGATGAGCAAACGCTGAGTCCAGCGGGTGAGTGGCGAGAAAAGACCCTAAAACTGATTAATCACAAAGTTGTCTCGTGAGTTCTACAGACAATAATGTTGAGTTCTACAGACAACAATGTTGAGTTTACAGACAATAATGTTGAGTTCTACAGGCAATAATGTTGAGTTTACAGACAATAATGTTGAGTTCTACAGGCAATAATGTTGAGTTCTACAGACAATAATGTTGAGTTCTGCAGACAATAATGCTGAGTTCTACAGACAATAATGTTGAGTTCTACAGACAATAACGCTGAGTTCTACAGACAATAACGCTGAGTTCTACAGACAATAATGTTGATTTCTACAGACAATAATGCTGAGTCTTCCACGAAGAGCAAGTATCACAGGTAACGTGACAGCACCAATGGTAGCGACAGGCGCACGGCTGCTTCAGCAGGTACAGGCTGGCAGTGTGGCCGCGGCCGCAGCACAGCAGCTCGCAGCTGTCCGATTCCACTGACGACGCGTTGCATTTCCTGAAATTAAACTTGAGTTTAGGTTCAAATTTCGTCAAACGTTTGCTCTATGCCAACATGCAATAATATCATATATATTTGAGAAATTTGAAACTTGTTTGCATTTAACATAATTTTTAAATTTTATTGGTGACTATTGTTTGCCGATGTTCTCTGAATAAATATTTTTAGTAGTTTTACATATTTCGTCACATCGTAATAAAGTGCACGCAGCTGTAAGATTCTTACCATCGTAATTAACTCCACCTCGCATTATGGCAACCTCCGAGAATCGAGAGCTCTATCGTAACAGCGACCCTAACCCTTACACAAGACGCTCAATATTAATGTAAAAAAATAAAAACGGAGAAACCACCCAAAAATCGACGTCAATGATAAATTGTATAGTGACTGTACCTGCCATGAGTGCCGAGCGAGCCGAGCTGTGGCTGAGGAGTGTAGTAGTCGGGACTGCTGGACGATAAATTGTATAGTGACTGTACCTGCCATAGGGAGTGCAACTGCTGGACGATAAATTGCATAGTGACTGTACCTGCCATAGGGAGTGCAACTGCTGGACGATAAATTGTATAGTGACTGTACCTGCCATGAGTGCCGAGCGAGCCGAGCTGTGGCTGGGGAGTGCAGTAGTCGGGACTGCTGGCGACGTACAGGAGGTCGTCACGGGAGTAGCTCGACACTCCCCCAGCAGACACGGGAAGCAGGCGCAGTTTGCTCACGACCTTCACGGGCCGTACAGCCACGGCTGACGAGTAGCGTCGCAGCAGACGGCCGCTCACCTGTCATTTGATTTTAAAAATTAACATTTATAGGCACAAGTTGAAATAAAGATTAAAAACTTCTAAGCTGTCAGCAGACGGCCGCTCACCTGTCATTTGATTTTAAAAATTAACATTTATAGGCACAAGTTGAAATAAAGATTAAAAACTTCTAAGCTGTCAGCAGACGGCCGCTCACCTGTCATTTGATTTTAAAAATTAACATTTATAGGCACAAGTTGAAATAAAGATTAAAAACTTCTAAGCTGTCAGCAGACGGCCGCTCACCTGTAATTTAATTTTAAAAATTGACATTTACAGGTAAATTCAAAACTTCAAAATAAATTCAATTTTAAAAATTACATTTACAGGTGCAAGTTGAAATAAATTAAAAAGCTTACAAGTTATATTTTAAAAACTTTTGCTATTACCTTAAGTTTGGAAAATCATAACCTCATAACGTGCGTAAACGGATAAATGTAAGCATTTAGAGAGACGCATGAATACAATAAAATGTTTAAACGCGATCGTCAGTTGAAATTGTCGTGACTTTTGATTGTCGCTTTACAAAAGGCTAAAAAAAGGCTCTGATCTGTGCGAATACAGTTTTCATTAATTGCAGTACGTGTAACGAATATAATTTTTCACCATGACGGTCAAACTAACGTACGTGGATTGCAAATACTAAGTAAACAATTTTCAATTGTAGTACGAGTTGTGAAAATACCTGTTTAAGATTACTTATCAGTCAGAGTAGATGCCAGTAAACTACAACGGCATGAGCTATTACAAACAACCTATAAAAATGATACGTGAACGCAAATGCTAACACTCCATGTATCAATTAAGACACATGGAGTGCAAATTCTACAAAACACAGTAGCAGTTACGATGGGTATAGCGCTCTAATAATAAATAAGTAAATAAATAGCGCTCAAATAAATAAAATATATTCCTATCATGTACGGCACGAGACGCAAATGCCATGAGAAACTATAATTATCTTCTATTTAAGTAACATGTGATGCAAATGCTGAGTTACCGCGTATAGCGACTATGATACTATGTATGCAAATATTAAAATGCTAAATATTGACTAGGACGCTTGTTGTGCAAATATTAAGAGTTACTGAATATGATCTACGGTGCGTAAAATTCTAATGCTGTGTTAGTATTATTGACATGCGGTGTGATATGATATACGGTGCGTGATACGGTGTGATATGATATACTGGGCGTGATACGGTGTGATATGATATACGGTGTGATATGATATACTGGGCGTGATACGGTGTGATATGATACGGTGTGATATGATATACGGTGAGTAAAATTCTAATGCTGTGTTATTATTATTTAGCGCCATGCTGAGTGAGAGTTCTTGCATCGATAACTGTGAAGACTGATTTGGTCCGTAATTTGCTAGGCATTTTAAGACTGAACATATGCTCCTGCATAGCTTCGTCTAGTCTGTTTTTGAAGATGTTTATACTCGGAGCGTCATGATATACTATAATTATCTTCTATTTAAGCAACATGTGATGCAAATGCTCAGTTACCGCGTATGGCGACTACGATACAATGTATACCGATGTTAAGATGCTAAGTATTTACTAGGACGCTTGTTGTGGAAATATTAGGAGTTACTGAATATGATCTATGGTGCGTAAAATGTTAATGCTGTGTTACGGTGCGTGATACATTGTGATATGATACGGTGTGATATGATATACGGTGCGTGATACGGTGTGATATGATATACGGTGCGTAAAATGTCAATGCTGTGTTAGTATCATTAAGCGCCATTCTGAGTGAGAGTTCTTGCATCGATAACTGTGAAGACTGATCATGAGAAGCGTGAGCGATAATCCCGCTTTAGCATCCTCTAATTATGGTCTACGCATTGTATTCTTTCACGGCATATGAGAATTTAGCGTCTGATGTTTTCAACAAGAATTTCCTCAAAAAAGACTTACTTAATCTAGACAAGGAGCTATAAGGTTCCGAATGCTCCCTTATAAGGTTTGAGAATTTAGCGTCTGATGCTTTCAACAAGAATTTCCTGAAAAAAAAACTCTCACTTTGTTGAAGCTGGCGAGGACTTTCCAGCAGGTCTTGAGAGCGCAAGACCCTGAGACGCCATGACACTTACAGCTCGTGGACAGCCCGACACTCGTTGCCTGTAACATGTAAGTAAATAATAATAATAGCGGTTTCAGCGTTATTAGGCCGTAGGCCTGTCGCCGATTCTTAACATCGCAGAAGATTCACAGCATTTTGCGGTCTCGAACTCGCAACTCACTGCTACAATTCTGCTGTGCTTAACCGCCCGACCTCCTTTCCGATTTTGACCAGAAACTGGCGCACAGAGCTGGGATCGAACCCGCGCCTCTATAGTGCGTCAATCTTGGTACTCTGAACTTAAACAGAGCCTGTAGCCGCAGTCAAGTGACGTAAATAAATACCAGTTCCTGTTAACTATTAAATGTCGGTGTTTACGCTTGCTGACTGCACTGTAACTGTAGAAATACGTTTTTGTCCTAAACATGAAAACTTGAATGATTTTAGAAAATACATTTACACCTGATGGCATTATGAAAACTCCCAGACATCTAAACTAGTATATAATAACTCGACTATAAAGAATTTAATTATTCTTGAAGTAAAATTTCTCACTCTGTCTCTAACATTACAATCGAAAAGATTGGGTTATTTCATCCATACACAACTCGAGTAGAAATCGAATTCCATTTGACCATTGCTCTATTATCGTTGATAAATCTTCTCGAAAGAAGCTAATTGAAAAACCTCGTGTCTTTTTGCCTGACCTTTCTTCCGACGCGTCGATTGTGGCGATCCATCTTTTTCACAGCCCTCTTCTTTATCCTCCTGCTTCTGCTCAATTCTTTGGATATTCGCCGCTTCTTTTCTCTTCTCCTGCGAGCTTCTTTCCGTCGTTCATTCTTTCTGTGTCGACGAGTAATTCTTTGCACGTCGAGGCCGCGGGAATGATCGCCAACTGCCACCCCAAGTCTCTGTTATAAAATGAATCACAAATCCTGTATTTGGAAAGAATAAATAATACACTTGATCGATGCTATCCTATAGGAAATACAAATATTGCTGGTAAATCATTAACATTAATATATTATATGATTCTCAGTAATAAGTAGGAAAAACTTTATTATAATAATCATCTCAATTCCATTTTTGTTGGATGAGCCACTACAATATTTTTCTATTGACTAAATTCTTCTCACCGACTCTCCTCCTTCTGACGAATGATCAAAAACATGGATAAGAAAGAGTGCAAAACATGATTAACATCAAACAATTCCAAGGTTTAGATTTGTAAACCATAAACACTTGTATATTTTCTTTGACAAACCTCTCTCTGATAAGATTTTTTCCTCGGTTTGAAGAACTCTTTATTGAAGGAATAAGCGTATAGGATGTTGTCGCCGCAACCACCCCACTGGAAGCGACCATTTGGCGGCTCCGTGGGCAGCGCTCCGCAACCACACTCCATCACCGCCCCCTGGCGACAGGCCCTCGCCACGGTCCACACAAGAGCAGCTGAGCCCAGGGCGTGAACCACTGCCTGTTCCCGCGTGCCTGAAGAAGAACTCACAACAACAGTGGTCCATTTTAAGACTGCTTAGCCTACAGCATGAACAACTGCCTGTTCCCGCGTGCCTGAAGAAGAACTCAAAACAACAATGGTCCATTTTAGGACTGCCTAGCCTAGGGCGTGAACCACTGACTGTTCCCGAGTGCCTGATGAAGAACTCAAAACAACAGTGGTCCATTTTAGGACTGCCTAGCCTAGTGCGTGAACTACTGCCTGTTCCCGCGTGCCTGAAGAAGAAGTCAAAACGACAGTGGTCCATTTTAGGACTGCCTAGTCCAGGGCGTGAACCACTGCCTGTTCCCGCGTGCCTGATGAAGAACTCAAAACAACAGTAGTTTATTTTAGGACTGCCTAGCCTAGAGCATGAACCACTGCCTGTTCCCGCGTGCCTGAAGAAGAACTCAAAACAACAGAAGTTCATTTTAGGACTGCCTAGCCTAGAGCGTGAACCACTGCCTGTTCCCGTTAAGCACGATACTGCTTACCTAATGTGAGATCCGCTGAAAAATTGGGAGCAAGAGCCACAGACGAGCAGTTCCAGCGGGAGTGGCGGAAGAGGCGCTGACAGGAACTGACGGTCGTGCTGGCTGCCGTCACGATGGCTGACAGCAATCCTGGCTGTTAAACGGAAATACTTGAGAAAATACAGACTTCGTGGATAAGTTAATGTGATTTTAGGTAAGCTGCTTGAATATATGTATATGATAACCTGTATTCAACTAACGATGACTTCACTATTATGTAAGTTAGTAGAAATTCTTCTTACTTATTATGGCTGTCTATGTCAAGAAGTAGGCTAGTATCAATGCACAGTTAACCTCATCTATTATCTAAGTTTGTTAAAAACAAGAGCACCAGGCTAGCCCCAAACATAATTGGCTACGTATATCAGCAATTTTGCTTATTAAAGAAACACTATATGATAAGATGTAGCTTTGTAGGTGTAGAACTGTAGGTTCACTTAGAGTTAACTTTATCTATAAGCAATTCATCTTGTTAGAAAAAGACTTCAATAAAGACAATCGGAAAACAAGTTCTATAAAACAACTTCCTGCTGCAATGAACCGCCGCTTAAGGCCTGAAAGAAACATGAATCTCTTAGAATCTAGTTGACTCTAGGAATTCAACTAAGGAGAAGATATCCTTCGATGATGACATGAATAAAAGTCCAATATATATTCTTTCTACCATGTTCTGAACATACTAATTTTAAAAATATATTGGAATGAAAACAGTCAATTTTTTCCCTAATATTTCATAAGTTCAATGTATGAAAATACATCATTTCACGGCTTCCTCCTCACCCTCGTCCGGCAGAGCAGAGTTTGGTCCCAGTTGAGGGCGCCTCTCGCGCGCGCCGCTCTGCATTGATGGTCGGCGTCGCCCCAGCTGCGGTGGCTCAGATGGTGCAGTGACCTGTGATGGAACAGAGGGACAGGATCACGGTCACGATGTTCATGATCTTTTTAGCGCATTTTCTCATTTATGGAAAAAATGCACTATTATGCTCGCCATGTCCGTCCGTCCGTCTGTCTGTCTGTCTGTCTGTCCGTCTCTCCGTCCGTCTGTCCGTGACCTCAAGTTTTCGTCGGCGAGAAAATGCGCTCTCTGTCACTCACTGCAGTGAGTACTGAGTTATATTTTTTATGTTCACGAGCCCTATTTCGATATTCATGTACCCCATTTCGATATTAAAGTACCCCATTTCGATATTAAAGTACCTTATTTTGATATTCAAGTACTCCATTTCGATAGTCAAGTACCCCATTTCGATAGTCAAGTACCCCATTTCGATATTCAAGTACCCCATTTCGATATTAAAGTACCTTATTTTGATATTCAAGTACTCCATTTCGATATTCAAGTACCCCATTTCGATAGTCAAGTACCCCGTTTCGATTTTCAAGTGCCTCATTTCGATATTAAAGTACCCCATTTCGATATTAAAGTACCCCATTTCGATATTCAAGTGCCCCATTTTGATATTCAAGTGCCCCATTTCGATAGTCAAGTACCCCGTTTCGATTTTCAAGTGCCTCATTTCGATATTAAAGTACCCCATTTCGATATTAAAGTACCCCATTTCGATATTCAAGTACCCCATTTCGATATTTAAGTGCCCCATTTCGATATTCAAGTACCCCATTTTGATATTCAAGTACCCCATTTCGAAATTCCGGATCCGTATATAGCTGAAAAATTTTTCATAAACTCTATGTCAGAGGTCCTTGTATCAATGCATGTATGTATAGCATAGCCGTCTCGACGTCCTATAGATCCCTACATATTGATGTTTAAATTTCATTCTTCATTCAAATTTCATTCATTTTCATTTAAATTTCATTCATAATAAAAAAAATTCCATTCTTCGCAGTTCAGGATCACTATATCGATATTCAAGACCCTCGTCTCATTCTTCAAGAGCCATTCATAGATGTGCGAGATCAGAATTCAAAATTATATGTGTTCAAAATGCATGCCTCGATGTTGAGGATAACTATTTCGGCGTATTAACATCACGTGATTGCTTTAAACGCCAATTAAATAAAAAAATTTTAAAACGAAGAAAATTGCACTAAAATTCGCTATGTATTTCTAAAAAAATGGACTCTAGCTGTATAGTCAATTCTAAATTCTTGAAAAACAAGTGCAATATATTACAACCCGAAAACATTGAACAGATATTGAAGTACAGTATAAATAGTTTATTGAATACATGCAAACGAAAAATAATCACAAGCCGATAAAACCTGCCGACAATTATAAAAAATGCCCAGTGAATAAAAACTGGAAACGGCATTCAAAGTACGCTACTGTTTAAAAGTATAAAAGTTTTACTAAATTCGTGAGTCGCAAACGCCGGAAATGAAAGCTAATAAAATTTTAAAGTCAGTATCGAATACAACGACGTACGTTGCCCTTCTTCGTTGCCTTCTCGGATACAACGACGTTGCCCTTCAGTAGAATGAGGGGATGGCTATATATAGGTAGATTCCGACAGTTACTCAATTTATGCTCCTTTCAGACAAGCTAGGATAGATTAGAAGTGGTTTGATGTAAAATATCGATGTCATTTCGTACAACTGAACTAGAGACAATCGATCACGGATAAAGTGAAAAAGTTGTACCTGGAAAAGAACCGATTCTGAAATTATTCACTATAAGACATGACGAGTAACATTCTGAAAACGCTCTACGAATAAAATGTTTAATTTCTCACATAGTCTCAGAAACAGGGGCATAGTATGTAAATAAACAATAAACAACGTCTCGATTGTCACACTAGGCAGAAACTTCTTCAAATTGTTTTGACGGGAATTTCCTAATTTGAGTGAAATGCAGGTTCACGGAAACGTATTTAGCGAGAAGATATTGCGCATAAATAAAATTTAAGAGATCATTAATTAACACATCCAACAAACTTCTTGGACTAATCAGACGCTCATACGAGTTCCTTATTTGAAATGCCTAGCTCCTTATCGAACCCGGTGGAAGTCTAGTAGCTACTTCAAACTATCGTCAGTCATGAAAAGATCCGGTCAAATTACACGAGTTTAGATCTATGAGCAAGGCACGAAAATGAAAAGAATCGGCGACAGGCCACATCAGGCCTACACTTCAGCGCCGACATCACTATGTTATGTTATGTTATGTTAGAAGGAGGGCAGAGCAAACCCGTGAGCCGTGGTGCATATGTCTGAATCCATTTTAACTTGAAACGAAATCAATAAAAATAAAGGAATTGTGCTTGAACCAGTAAACGTAGATTTTTATAATGCTGAAGCATGAAGACGGCCTTTAGATTTAGGAACATTTTAGTCTATGAATGACAAACTATTGTTAGCTTCAAGCTCCATGTTGCAATAACGAACTTTTTTTATATGATTCTTGCAGATTGATGATTTTTTCATATTGATAGATGCTTTTTCATAGTTTCTAGGTTGCAGCTTAAGGTAAGAAAAAAAGTTTGACGTAAGAGGGATACTTGAATATTATTAGGGTGTTATATCGTTAAAGGAATGGAAAATTTTATACTTAAAATGTATTTCGAATATTAATTTTCATGTTTTGGGTGCACAACTTTAGATTTGATTCTGTAGAGATCTTATCTTTTTCCTTTCCAAATTAAATTGTCTCTAGTTTGCGCATCAGCATACATCGGCATGACGTCACTCAACTTATAATCTGAATTGCCGGAGCACGAAGTTAGGAGTTATCGAACAAAAAATCTATAGCGCATCCCCCTCATTCGGCCCCACTCATTCACCCCTAGTTAGTACTAAATTCCTGCATCAGATAGTGAAATTTTTTTAGAATTTTGGCTTCCATTTCCATGGTTTCCGACTTGTAGATTTCAGAGTCCACAGCCTTTGATTCTTATCCGGTAGATCCTTTTAATAGATTGGTTTGTCTGGTCGTAATTATGTCACGTTGCCGCGTTTTGCATGTGGCAATTCAGGTCTGTCTATTCATTTCTTTGAATATCAGTTTGTCAAATTAATTTTAAATGTATTCAATGATGTTTTAATTGACGATGGAGCGGAATGCGCAAATGCTTGTATCATATTCTATGATTTCGAATTATTAGTTTATTAGTTATAATGTTGACGATCGATACTCAAAATCACGATTTTAATGCGCAAAACCTATACCTCGGAATTCAAACTAATAATTAGATGTATAAGATAAATTCCTTGGTATTCAAGATTTGCTCTTTAGATGTTAAGAGCTATGCCAGGTTATTCACGGTAATTGTCTTCATGCTCATAATGTCGATCTCGAACCATACGTTTGGAACTTAGCCAGAAGTTTTGTATAAACATGATATCTTTAAAGTTTTTTTTTTAAGTCTATTAAGGACGGAAAAATATGTATGTAAAGTATTTCAGGTCTGAGCTACGAAATAAATTCATAGCAGTCACGCTTAATATCGCGATAATTGTATTAGGTGTTTTGTTTTTAATGCATCTCCTGCCCGCTGTGTCTGCGATGTTCATTTGTTCAATTTTTCGAGTTAGTCGCTGCGCACATGTTTCGCTCGCAATATTGCGAACGCGGCCTGTGCTTAAACCAAGACTACATTAGTTTTCGTGGTTTTGGATGAGTAAAATAGCTTTTTCGTTGTTCAGATTCAATCGATTTACTAGCTATCCCAACTTCCTGGCGATTCGTAGAACCAAGATTTATCAACTATATAAACTCTATAGTTGGACAATAGTAAGAAAGTGACTTGTCCGTTCTGACTATTGATACCTATTGATATCCATTTAACTTTATTTTATTCTGCAATATTTTATCATAAAAAATGCACTGTTAAATAAAAATCCGCTCACATATATTATTATAAATATGCAAGTGAGGCTATAAATTTATATACGATTTGAAAAGATTGTTGGATTATTTTCTAATTTTCCATAAAAGAGCCCCGGCAGAGCAGGCATTCGAAGCGACAACGTTCATTAAAACTTTAGCATATTTGTGGAGGCCATCATCCAGCCTATACGAGCAGCTCGATGCCAGTCTATGGCAATTAAGCCATGAACTCTTCATGTTAGAAGCCTTAAGTTGACTCACCTTAATCCTTCAGAACAATTCGCTCTCGTTTTGCATAATGAGAAGGTCTTGGAGTCGCCTAATGATCTCATTACGATGGTATTATGGAGCTGGTCCGTGTAAATGCTCGACAATTACAGCGAAGACCGCGAGCCGCTCGCAAGCTACCATGAAATGTTAATGGACCTGCGGTTCTGGCAACACAGATGCAAGTTTTAAACGCCCGCGCTGTCGGACCTTCGGAATTTTTTGCGGACCTGATTTAAGTTGCCCTGATTGGACGCAGCTCGCCATTTGCATGATTGGTGTGCCTTTGTTTGGAGCCAATCTTTGGGCCAATTTGTTGGGACCAGATCTCCTAGAGTGGCCATTACTTTTCTCCTCTACACAGACTCGGTTGTTTAATTCGTAATCCCGTTGCAATAGAGTTCAATGCCGCTGGATCATTGCTTGAACTTACATATAGGCAATTCAGACCGAAAATTTTTCCCATAATTCTTCTTATTAGGAGCGTAAATAAGCGCATAATTGTACGGCACTAATCTGACATCCATCATAGATTGATCAACTCCAGCATAATGTCTCGGTGGCTTCCCGTCATGTCAGTGATCAACGTTGAGTTTGCATTGACGGATTTATTGATGAGGGACCTTAATATTCATCCGAAATGAGCCCTTTTAATCCCATAGAAATGAAATTCCTAACCAAATAATAATTTATTACAATAGTGAAGGATTAAAGTGATAAATATCGTTGTTTGATATTAAATTGAAATAGTGACAATGGCGAAGGATTGGCACGTTCTGGACCTTCGGAATTTTTTGCGGACCTGATTTAAGTTGCCCTGATTGGACGCAGCTCGCCATTTGCATGATTGGTGTGCCTTTGTTTGGAGCCAATCTTTGGGCCAATTTGTTGGGACCAGATCTCCTAGAGTGGCCATTACTTTTCTCCTCTACACAGACTCGGTTGTTTAATTCGTAATCCCGTTGCAATAGAGTTCAATGCCGCTGGATCATTGCTTGAACTTACATATAGGCAATTCAGACCGAAAATTTTTCCCATAATTCTTCTTATTAGGAGCGTAAATAAGCGCATAATTGTACGGCACTAATCTGACATCCATCATAGATTGATCAACTCCAGCATAATGTCTCGGTGGCTTCCCGTCATGTCAGTGATCAACGTTGAGTTTGCATTGACGGATTTATTGATGAGGGACCTTAATATTCATCCGAAATGAGCCCTTTTAATCCCATAGAAATGAAATTCCTAACCAAATAATAATTTATTACAATAGCGAAGGATTAAAGTGATCAATATCGTTGTTTGATATTTATCGAAGTAGTGACAATGGCGAAGGACTGGCACGTTCGCATTCACCTGATCCTGGATGGCATCTGGTCGCATTGATCGCTGAACAGAACTGATGTCCTCCGTCATTATTAAAAGATCGTCGAGGAACTACAATTAACATTCATTGGATATTTTAATGGCTATATACTGAGACTGAGCTGTGATGCTCGCAAGGCTTGGTGGGCCGAGACGATGTGCTATTATCTTGTCACAAAATAAGGCTCTTAAATGCGCCTCATGATCGATGTTGGCAGCCAGAGCTGCTTACTTCTAGATCAGGCTGGCACGTCATTCAATTTATGCATTGCGGGTTTTTATTCTTTACAATGATTAGAGGTTTGCTCACTTTAATCCCCGGGCACAGGCGGTATTTTTACCAGAAATTATCATTAGGCTTAGCCGTGCTGGATATTACTAAACGGTTTTCAATTTTCTATAAAATTATTTCTCCTAAAATTAAAATATTTTCATAGTATACAATTTTCATAAAAATATTGTGTGTTAAATTTTATTTGTGTATTGGTTTCAACAAAGCAGAATATTTTTATAATGAGAATAGTTCACGGTTAACGGCCGTTCAATCAAGCGTGTTTAATGCTGAGCATTTGGCCTATATAAGCTGAGCACGCTGACCAGACCAAGATTTTACACGTGGGATCACTTGAATTTGAACCTCCTCTCCCTGTCTCAGCTGGAACAAATCAACAAAATCTTTCGATCTTCTACGCAAAGTTCTCCATTTGATATACCAAATGCACCAACTTGTATATTAACAAATTCTCATGTGCGTGCAGCAGCAGTGGGGTCTAAATTGCAGTCCACATGAGCACTCAGACGACGCAATGGGTACTCTAGTTTGACAGTCGGGATCGCAATGCCATCATTAGACTGCCCTCGAATCGATTTGACTTCATAATTTCGATGCAAATCACTCGCAGGAACAATTTAAACTCGCTGATGCACCATCTACACGCACTCATAGTACGTGGTTTGCCTGCTCTCCGGTTTCAAGATTTTCGTAATTTTCCCAACATTTTGCTTGCCTGCTGTTGATACGAGGATCGAGGTGGTCACGCGACTTACATTATCTTTGCTACATTTATGAACTCCAACCTTCAAAAATCCTGCTCCGACATAAAATAATATGATAAAATTACTTACATTTTTTCGATCAGCACATAGCTGTCTGCCATTATTATTCTTATCTGCCATTACATTATGCTCTATTTTCTCAGGCATGACCAACTCAATTATTTGGGTTTTCGTTTGCTGGACCATGAAATAGTTTGACAGTTCGAAGATTACCACGAGCATGCAGTATAATGAACGACCAGAAAATCAGTACCAACTGAAAGTTATAGTATCCATGACAAAAATAAAAAAAATAACGATTAACTAAATTTCGTTTCTCTCGAGTACTATATGAAAATACAATAATGACAGAACGTAGATACCAAGAGGGTTCATAATCATTATTAAAGCATTTAAATAATAAGAATTTAGGAAATTAAAATCAAAGCATTAAGTCCTCGCATTAGGCACGTTTGAAGCCTTTTTTGTTCAGAATTTAGATCACCAGGTCACCGATCTTGGTCGAGGTTCATGACAGGAGGCGTGCATCGGCATCATGAACTTATACAGAAACTAAGGCCTTCGCTAATTATTCTGGAGCATGTTGATGCATGAAATTAAATTTTTTACCGTTAAGAGATACCTTGCAGAGTTGTTGGACTCTAAAGTATAGCAATAGGTATTATATTTTAAGAGCTATCTAACAGCGTAAGTCGGTTATCTGGGGGACAGGTTCTCGGGTCTTCTTACCATGATGGAATTCACTCCTGGCCAATGGCGCGAAGTATTTGGATATTGCAATGAAAAACATCGGGATATCGCAACAAAAATCATGTGGATATCGGAATAAAATGCGAATAATGAAGTTAGTTTGAAATGTAATGAGTAGACAGCACGGAGAAGCAAGGGATATATTATGAGTAGATTTTGCAGTTTGTTGCAAGTAAATTTAATTGGTGTGCGTGATAAGTCGTACCATACATAATTTTACTAGAACAGTAAAGTCAAAATTTCTGCTTTGGTAAAGTAGAAAAAGGTTTGCATTTCGTTATTTAAATTCCCCGAAGTGTTCCAGTGACTTCTGGAAAATTTTTCATATTTAACGTGTACGTGAACCCGGCCCATGTACTCCGAAATGAATGAGCGTATAGTGATAGTGAGCTCGCTAATATGTAGTGAAAACTTAGTAATTCCTTCTGAATTCGACAAAAATGATTACAAATTTATTGATAATATCCCGCGAGTAAATTGAGTGCAATAAATTTATAGATGAATCAGACTTTGAGTGATATGAAGCTATTAAGAGAGGTTATGAGAAATCAGTTATTAAAGTTAAATAACTCACAGCCACGCCATGCAGTGGACGGTCGGTAGCACCAGAACCCCCAGGTACAATATAAGTTTCATCTTACGGCACGTGGAGCTCAAATTTGACGTTGTCCATTAAAATGTTCAGGTTTTCCATTGAGCGACACACGAGTTCATAAACGTATTTTCTACCAATGTCTTTCTCCGAACACGATCAAAGTGAATCTACTTGTAATTCTTAGTGGGGCGTGTTTCCAATTCATTCGTTAAAGACCACGTTTGCACATTTGTCTCAAATATAATTTGCAACGCTCTAATCTCTTTAATTTTGAAAAATTCACGACTTATTCTATTTATGTTGCTATGTGTTAATTTCAGCCATTCTCGTAACGAAAATTCATCTCATAAAACGTTTCAGATTACGTTTAAAATACATACACTTCGTTTATCAATCAAGATATAAAACAGTAGGAATTTTTTATCTGCAAAACAATGTTCATCTGGTGAATGCATTCAAATATAAATAAAATTATTTTCTGAGTCCTGCTTCACAAGATTTGTTGTACATTATTCTATGAAAACAGTCGATCACTTCATGGTTTGATGCACAAGTCTCAGCGCTATTTACGAAAACATTAGAATTTTTCAGCGCTCTGCTCGACGTATTATGCTTTAGAGGAAGGAGCTACACTCATATTTAGTGACTTTCTAGCAACGTACGTTTGGTGCATAACTCATCAAACTTTCAGAGAAAAAACTCTTAACACAATAACCTTCTCGAGTCATAACCCTTAACACATGAACCTTTCCGGGGCATATCCCTTAACACATTTATTTTCCCGTGAAGCAACCTTTAATACAATATAGCCTTTCCGGGCAATATCCGTTAACACATTAACTTTCCTGATACATTTCACTTACAACATTAACCTCTCCGGTACGTACCCCTTAACACATTAACCTTTTCGAGACATATCCATTAACATATCAACACCTTCGAGACATATCAATTAATTTATTAACACATAATACCTAATGCGTGAATCAGTGGTCAACTCTTCAGTTGATTATCTTAAGATAATTGTCCGTCATTTGATGAACAACATAAAACAAAACATGCTTTTGCGGAGCTTCTGACTTCTTTCGTGTTTTTTTACAGTTTAGTATAAAAATATATAAAAATTAAAGTTCCTAAATTTTCACATACGTTTCACAAATTTGTCTCAAAAATTCACCAGCATAATGTCCGATGTCGGCGCCTAATAATTTGGATCAAATTCATCTAAAAAAATAGTGGGGGACGTAAATCGCTCAGAAATGGCTCGTAAAAATGTAAAAGATAGGGACTATGCACTGAAAGGAAAACTTTTAGCTTCATATTAGACTAGTTTACACGCATGTTTCCGAATCACTGGAGAGTCTGAGCAGGCTGTTCAGCTCCAATGGGAGGAGGAGCACTAGGCGGGGCTGAGAGTACTCTTTTTGCACCTCTAAAATTTCTTCTGTCTACTCACTATTGAATAAATCATTAGTGAATTCTTTTGCAACTTCCATAATAATCGTTTACTGTGAAATTATGTTTGCATGTTGTCAATTAAAACCAAAATATTTTGGAAAAATTAATTTCTGCATGCATAAATTATTTCCTTTTTTATCTTTTGGTTGAATCTTTATTTGAAATTAGAATTAACCCTACTACAAGAATGAGGTTACGGAAAAAGTTGTCGTTAGGTTAGGACTGAAAAAAAATTTTTTTACTCTACGCAGCCACGTTTGATTTTTTAAAATAATTTTAAGATAATTCTTCGAGTCCGGATGAAGTTCTATTTCGAAAAGGGAGCGCGAAGTTGCCAACTTGCCAACTTAGAGGATTTATCTGCGAGAGATGGTTGGTTAGAGACATGCTTAAAACTCAGCTCTGCTGACGTGAGTAAAAACTAAAGTAAAGTATTCGCTACTGTATCTGTAGGTAAATGAACGGTTAGACTTTCAAACTTTTTCTATTCTTTTGTAGTTGAAAAATATAATTTTGGTAGTTAAAAATAAGTTAGTGTTAGACAGAAATTGTCACTTAGACTGTTAGGTGAGTAAAGGTGACAATTTCAGTGAAACAGAGGCTGGATCCTATTTCCCCAATCCCCAGGTGACATGTTTAAGCCGATTGGCGGTGCCAATGTTGGCGCCATATCAAGAATGGGAGGGGCCAAGAGGGCAGAGATAGGCCTGAATGAGCGGCAATGCATACTTAATTTTATGTTGAAAACTTGAAGTACTTGAAGACATCATGAATCATGATCAATTGATCATGGATGCTCCTGAATCCTGATCATGCTATGGCTCTTATCTCGGCATTCTGCAATCTTGAATAAAGACATGGACAAAGTTAAACTGTTGATTGTTGAAGTAGGCCTAGTTGTAGTTGAGACTTGAGAGTTGAGACTTGAGTTGTGTGAACTATGAAATGTGTCAGTCAGTTAGATATTTATAGGTATACTTAGTTTTGTTCAAATCTTTTTGGTAGTTAAAAGGAATTTTCTTGATCACTGCAAATTTAAGCAAGTAGCCTATTGCTGTTTAAATTATGAATATAGATGAAATGGACAAAAATTTGCAAAAGATGGCATAATAAAAAAAAATTTCACAAGCTAAACATCACCATTCAGGAGTTAGGAATGTACCATCAAAGATCAAACAAGGTAATGAGGGACAAATGGGGTAATAAGCCTATAAGAGACAGTCCTTTAACATTTTGTAGAAATGTTGTAGCTCAGCTAAACTAATTAAAATATTGCAAAGTAAAAAATAGTGGCACGAAGTTCATCATTTTTTATATTTATGTAGCACAAAGCAAGTTGAGAAATAATACATTTACTACCGTACCTCTAAAAAATCATTGAAAAGAGTGTGAAAAGTGAAATTTTGGAAAAGTTCCTCTGCTAAGATCTGTAAAAAAAATATTCCCCCATAATAAAAAATTTTACTTACATACAAGCTGCATATGAATGTTGGCTTGAAAATGTGATTGACGGAATTTGTGTATCTCATTCCAGAAAATAATAGCGGCCATTTCTGCACAACGGGGTAATAAGGGACACCCCTAAAAATGCATTTACAGTAGAGCCTTGGTTAGCAAAGGCTATAGTTAACAAAAAAAAAAAAAATCAATCAACAACAAAGAATCTTGATTAGATTTACCTCGCTCAGCCAAAAAATTCACTTGACAAAAATTAGTGCATCATCCGTCATAGTGGCAAAGCAGAGAGTTTTTTAGACTCTCTCTCAAGCTCATTTTTGAGTCCTATAAGTATAAGTAGACCAGTAAAGTATCCTGGATACCAGCATTATTATACTTAAGAAATTGGTTTAAATCTTGAGTAAATGAGGAAATTAAAAATGAACTGATTCTAAAAAAGCTCTGGTTTGCCACTATGTCATCCGTCATCACCAAACTGAGCATAGAATGTCATAGATAGAATTGTTCACTGTGCAACGTGGAATGGAAAGTAATTAACCTAAACTATGATTTTGTTCTCAAAAAATATGATGGTTGTCACTAAAATATTCTTTTGTGTTTCAGGTAGTATGTTTTTGCAATTTTTTTTGTTATAGTGAATTCACTTGACTCACTCAACCCTTTCCCGGGCCGATATAGAAATACACAGTAATTTTTATTTCCAAGTCCAGTTCTATAAAATATGGGCAATCCTAAGATATATTTGCTCATGAATTTTTTTTTTATTTTTGTATATACGTATAAGCTGAAAATTGCAAAAAATGAAGTGATCATATTTGGGGCCTTGCTGGTATGCCCTTAGAAAAAAAATTAGCAGCACCTCCATGGCACCAACAAATGCAATCAATCAATGTAAATGTTTTATTGAATGTTATACACAAACTTTATAAAAATCTACTATTTGTAAGAAAAATAGTGTAGAAAGGCAATAAATTATAGAATAGTAATGCAATCTCAATTATTTTACCTAGCAACCTATACTTGCATGTCCATAGGAGCAACATGACTCAATGTTGCAATGCAAACACTGCAGTTTAAGTCCAGTCCAAGTGTACGTATTGGATGGTCACTTTTAGAAACAAGGTGTGATATATGCATGTAAATTTTATTTTATGTTTGAGTTTTGGATGTGCACTCAATATTGTACTAAAAAAACATAGAATTATTTCAATGCTGTAACTTACCTGATTTTCCGCCATAGTCCAATAAAGATTGGGAAAGTTCAGTAAGTGAATGGGACCTCAAATTTCCAACAAGTTCAGCACTGTACTGCTTAGTTGGTGGAAAAGAGTTGAGTTTCACCACCAAAACAAAGCAGGAATGTGTATTGAAAGCTTTCAATACAAGTACTGCCAATTCCTGAATACAGCATTAATATTACAGAGCATGTTTGAAAGGCATATGAAATACCTGGGTGTTAATGAGTTAACTACCATGTGTGCATTTAAGGAGGTACATGGACCAGCTTCCAATACTCCTATACAAAGAAAACAAAGAGAAAATGATTATTTTTTCTCTCCTGTTAGCTCTTGTTTTAATTGTCTAATGAAATTTTCCTATATTTATAATGATAATTAAATTAAGATTAAATTTTCTGAGAATTATTTATATGCCACAGCTTTCTTGAATCTAATTATCAATTATCATGTAAAAAGGTTTATCTCTTTTCAGCTCTTCCCAGATAAATGATATGACGATGGATGTGCTAAATTTGTTTCAGTGGACTGAGACTCAGGTTGCCATTAATAAATTAGAGGTTCTGCTCAAATGTCAATTATGGTAAGTAATTTATAATTGTGTAATAATCATGCATGTGGACCATGATATACATGACGCCCCTGTGGAATAGGTTGAAATTCATTAGGGGTAATACTTGCACAGGTAAAAATACTTAGCATAATAGATCAGAAAATTTAAAACTTGACCTTCCCTTCTAAAATTAGTTGTCATTTTTGTTTCAACAATTGTCCAGATTGGATTAATGTTTAATACACAAACAATTTCAGCCTCAGTAGAATTGTAAGGATGGATAAGAATTCTATTTGATGGTAAAATTTGAAAAAAGGCAATAAATGAACACCTGAAACTGGACCTTTAATTTATATATATATATATATAACTCAACTGGTATATTTTACATCACTTCTCTTTAACTTCACTTCTTGTTTGTTTATTTGTCTGCTACAAATCTTATAATCAATATTTAACATACTTCTACCTGTCCAATTGACTTGAAATTTTGCAAACTTGCATAAAGTCAGAGACAATGCTTGAGTCAGTTGACAGAATGACTAATTTAAAAAAATTTACAAAATTTTCAAATATAAAAAAATTGAAAATTATTTTTTTAATATCCGATAATAAAATTAGAAATTCATTGTACACATGTAACATCAAAGACACTGGATTCTTTTGAAGTGTTGTCTTTAAAAAATTAATTTTTAAATGCATACTATTACAACACTTCTCTTTAACTTCACTTCTTGTTGTTTGTCTGTGTCTGCTACAAATCTTATAATCAATATTTAACACACTTCTGCCTGTCCAATTGATCTGAAATTTTGCACACTAGCATATAGTCAGACACAATGTATGAATCAGATGACAGAATAAATAATTTTGAAAATTTACAAAAATTTTACGTAGGTATTGAAAAAAATTTGAAAACTATTTTTTAATATTTGAAAATAAAATTAGAAATTCATTGTACATGTGTATCATCAAAGACACTTGATTCTTTAAAAGTGTTGTCTTTAAAAAGTAATTTTTTAATGTTAAAAAAAGTAATTTTTAAAAGCATATTAATTTTACATTGAGAATATGTCACAGCTTGATTAATTTCAAACATAAAAACCACCATTTCTAAAATTTCACCCTAGCAGCAATTGTGGCTGTGATTGAGAGTGATTGGAAAGTGCAGTGGCTTAGAAAAAATTCATTGTGCATGATTGTTTATCCTCTCATTTGAGGCTGTGCAGTTAAAATCTTTTAGAATAATCGAATACCAATTTTAATTATTGTCATTAAATAGCCTAGAATATCTAAGGTATCAATTTATACAACGTCTCTTTGCTCATATTGTTGACTAATGCTACCTGAGCAGTTTAAATTACTAGAGAACATAGATTATTCTTAAAAAAGAATATTTAATTATATTATTCTTATATATATTATATTTATTCTTGAAAAAGAGAAAAAGAACATGGATTCTTAAAAAATTATTTGTGAATCAATCAAGTTAATCATGTGGATAAAAGCTGGAAGTGATGTGCTTCAAGGGGACTAGTTAGTGGCCCTGTAGCAATGCAATTCTGGCTTAAGATGGCTGATGGTTATTGGCTGCATAGAGTTACTGAGACATTATGAATGCAATGTCACTGTAAAGATAGCTTATTCAAATTTTCATACAACTTTAATTTCTCAAATAAATTTATTTTTTGAACATTTTCTTTACTTTGGCTGCCTTCACGTAAGTTTAAAATATTCATGTGTTTATTTGTGGCTTTACAGAAATACCTACCACTTGGATATCTTGTTGGTTTTCTTTAATAAATGCAATATTTTTTACAACTAATTCCCAACTATTTCCATAAATTTGTGATCATTTTGAAGAGTATTTGGATAATTTTTGGTTTGAGGCTCAGTCCTCAAAAAGTATGACATGCCTACACCAATTGACACTCTACAAGTAGTAGCCTCTCTTTCTTTACAATGAATGCAAATTTTATATCAATCCAAACCTGCATCTACTCATGACTGGGCCTTGAAAATCTAATGGATTGGATCAAAATTGAAATGTTGCAAAGGTTAGTGTAAAGTGAATCACTACCACATTCAGATTTTTTCAAGTTAGGTTTATGCTCAGAGAGGTTCAGGTAGGTAAGTATCTTGAACAGAATCCTCTTTGTTATGTGTGCTTCAGTCTAATTCTATTTGATGGGCAATAATACAGCAGAGTAAAATAGATTGACAGCTTCTCTTCCATCTTATATTTGTTGCGAGTATTCAAAGTTGTACTTCATTTCAGCGATAAGCTACCAACATCTCCAGTGGTGTTCCCTATATGCCATCACACATTCTGTGTGCTCTGCTTGAGGGAAAGACCAAGTTGCAGTTCAGCCGAAAGCAATGGATGTCCACTCTGCGGCCTGGCTGTGGCCACCAGTGTTTCTGATATCCGCCCTGACTGCCTCACAGCTCAGCTCTCTGAAGCCCTCCAAGACCTCCAATCTCTGTTACAGAACAAGTATGAAATATCATGAACTTTGAACCCTGCATTAAAGATATATTTTATTCAAACTATAAGCACAATTCATGCAAGTGTCTTGAATACCTTACTGAAAGTAATTTTTTGTTATCAAAATATAATTTATTCCTAAACACTCAATTATTATCAATACTCCTGTAGGCTTATCAATATTAAGCTTCAGAAAACCTCTGTTATTCCACTTTGGTACATTCAGATTATGATTATACTGCTTTCAAAATTCAGCCCATGTTTTTGCATCAACTTTGAACAATTTATGCATATAAATAAGAAAGCAATCTTGAATTTCTGAAATGTGATACGGTACTCATTAATATCTTAATATGAAGACTCAATTCTCTTCTTCAATAACAGGACACCTCCATGTGGTGACAAAATTCCTGCCAAAGCTGGTGCTCAATCGGGATCTGGTTTGAAAAATTTATTAAGTAAGTGAATTGTTAGAGGACAGTTTCCTATGCAGGAGCACTATTACAAATGGAACTTTGATTATTTCTCTATTATGTAGTTTGTTATTGCTTAAATTAGCTCATGTAATTCTTATTGCTAATTGGGTATTGATAATGTCATTTCTTGCTGCTGAACAGTTCTTGATACATATTAAATGCATTTTCTCTTGTTATTTCAAAGTCTGGGGTGCATTGTCAATAACTTCAATAATGCATTGATCAATAACCTCTTCTGTGAAAATAACTTAGATGACTTGTGTATGATCCCCTCATGCCTGTCATTATTTAAAGGTTCTATGTATGATTTGTTATTGAACTTGGAGTACAATTTAGTTTGTTGTGGGATTCTGGCATTCATACCTGTCATTGAAAGGTTACCGTACCTTATGCAATAATTTTTTTGTTCAGAGGAAGCTCCTTGCAAGAATCCCTGTTCTTCACCTCAGCAGGCAGCCAACTCCAGTACTGGAATTAATCTTCCTAGTTGCAGAACTACTCATCAATCTGTTCCCTCAGTCCCACCTGTCCCGTTAGTCGCATCTGTCGCCCCTGTACAACCTGTCTCGCATGTACAACCTGTCCCGCCTGTGCAACCTGTGCAACCTGTCCCGCCTGTACAACGTGTCCCTCCTGTGCAACCTGTCCCCATAACCCCAAAACTTCAGAGAAAAGCGCCTCAGACAGCAGCTCCTCAGGTAACGCCACGAACACCTCAGCTGAAGTCTGCCTCTCCAAAGCTGCCTCCTGCCACACCCAAGCTTGATCGGCGTAACTTGAAGGGCGAGACTTTACTGCATTCAGCTTGTGTCAAGGTTAGTCTGTGATCAGGGAAATTTTTGATGACCTTTTTAAATTGTTATTTCCTGATTCAAATTCTCATCGGGCTGAGTGAAATAAGTTTTTCTTCTACTTCCATTCAAGCTCATGATAGTATTTTATTGATAGAATTACTGCTTCATATTTGCTATTCTAATTGCATAAAACCTTAACAGGGAGACGTTGCAACGGTGCATCAGCTGTTGGAAGAAGGAGCCAATCCTAATAGCCGGGATTATGCGGGCTGGACTCCATTGGTTAGTGAGTTCTAATGTACCTAATTAATGTCATCAAGAAAGCTTGGCTTTCATTCATGGGCATCATCAGTTATGTTTGTTGCTGATATTGTTTTAAGGTTGCAGTTAACAATTTTTTTTATCAATTTGTTATGTCACAATATGACATCGATGAATAAATGCCTCTTTGTAGAAAAAGCCTTTCCTATCAGGCTAGAAATAATCATAGGAAACGTCATGCTCTGCTGTTACGTGCAGGAGCTTCCAGCACTCTTTGCAAGAAACAAAACTGAAACTGATGCAATGCCATCGTCTTGTAACTTGGTAAATCTAAAGAATTCATGCGTATGTAGATGGCTCATTAATATAAAACTGTTGGCACTTGGCCATGTTACGCAAATAATCTGATATTTCACACCCGCATGTACACCACAGGCGATCACGAATCGCGCGGCGTCAGGCCTTATCTGTCAGCCAGTTCATTGAAATTAATGTAGCCTGACTTGCTTCAATAAGCTGGTTTGGTGTGAACGCTCTTAATTACAAAGCCGTAATGACTCATTCCATTTTATTATTTTATATTACCCATAGCGTTTCTTAAGATAATCGTACCACTTTTTGACTCAAGATAATCATACTAATAATTGCAAAAAATTTCTAGAACTCATTAACATCGGCACATTTAAATTGTTTAAAAAAACAAGCACAGTACAGAGAGGGATTTTTCAATGGCAAAGTGATCAATGGATTTAAGAGAAAATTTATTAGCCAAAAAATTTTTGAGTCAAATAGTGTACGAGTCAAATTATACCCCATGCGCCTACCTTAATCATGTCATGATATAGAAGAGCACAATTACAATCGTAATATGTTGAAAAAAAATTTGGCGCTGAACGAGACAACTGTCCATTACCCTAGCTTTGTTGGAATGTGCTCAGCCATTTCGTTGTTGTCAGCGTGTGGACAGCCTTTGCCTTTGCCTGACTAAAATTCGTATTGTCACGCTTGGATATGTTCAACTTGTTCTCCAATACAACATTATTGTTACCTAATTGAACATCGTTGAACAAATGGGATTGCTCTTAGAAAAGTTCTCTATCCATCGCTGGGAAATCTCATTTTTCCAGAGTTATGGTTCTGTTGAGGAAAATCTACATATGCTGCTTGGAAATATATATATGAACCAACATACATGTGTAAAGTTGCATCCTGTTCAATACTTCTAGAATGCGAGTTTGTTTTTATTCACTGTTAGGACAACGATAATATTTTTCCAGTAAAAATTTTGGTAACCGTAAGATTCTTATTACACATGATTTCAGCTTGAAAGAAATGAATTATAAGCATTTAAGCTCGCACTCTTCGCAGCACGAAGCGTGTCAGCACGGCCACGTTGAGATAGCAGAAGCTCTGCTGCTCGCGGGGGCGCTGCCCAACGTGCCAGGGTACGAGGGCAACGCCACCCCCCTGCACGACGCCGTCGAGCACGGCCGTGACATCGTGATCCGCACCCTGCGACGATATGGCGCCAGGGATGACCTGTGTAACATATATGGCCACACTGCGAGGTGAGTGCGACATGCTAACTTCTGGTCCAGGGGCAATACTTTCAAAACTGGTAAGTGAACGTAAGTACTTACGCTCTATTTTCTTGTCTATGATTGGTGGATTTTGCTTGAAAGGCCGTCAATGATTGGCTGATGAACTTACGATCTCTTAACTTTTTTTGAAAGTATGGGCCCAGGGTGTTTAATTGTTCGTGCTGGAGGCTAGGGATTCATGGGTACGGCTTGTAAAATTTAATTTTTCATCTTGTGATTGCGATTTTACTCATTTCAAAAAGTCATCAGTTACTCGTTCTCTATTGTCGTCAGCCATTTTACCGGGCAAAATTCTCTTGGATAAAATTCACAATTTCGTCAAATTTACATGCATTTTCAGAAAACTCGGGCGTTGAAACTAGAAAAGTACCCTTATTGCAATTTACTTCTTAATATATGCTCTTTTTTACGTTGTTTTTTTTTTTTTGATAATTCTTAAAGTAATTTGTTATTGATAAATTGAATGTGATTTCGCCTGCAGGGATTTGGCTTCACTTTGTCAGGCACCAGACAAACTTCTTGCTGCACTGGACACAGCTCCTGAAGAGGATGCCATTAAAGCTGTTAAACGCGCTGGTCCTCCCTTACATAGCATCGTTGTTACCTCATCCAACCTGTCAGCGGAACATTCCAAGACTTTGCAAGCTTTTGCTCGTCTCTTCCGAATACGACTCGTTAATGAGTTCTGGTAAATCGCTTGCATCAACCGCGGACGTATCTGCACCCCAAAATTCAATTCTGGTGTTGATTTAGAGTAAAGTTCTTCTTATGTGATTTTCAATACACGTCAATACGATAGTGTATTTTTCTATTCATTTTCTCTTATGTATATCCCGTTTTCGTTCATTACTTGTGGACGAAATTATTGCAATATTCTCACGGAGTTGACGGAGAATATCGGGTTTAATTTTTCTTTCAGTCCTGAAGTGAGTCACGTGGTCGTAGGGTGCGAAGGCAGTCGACTGGTTTGCCTCCGCACCGCCAAGTTCATGATGGGCGTAGTGGCTGGCAAGTGGATCGTGTCACACGAGTGTGAGTTTGCTTTCAATGTTCTGTGTAATGATTCAATCCCAGCATGAAAACATGAATTTCTAAAATCTAGTTTCCCAAGTAAACATCACGTTTCTATCTTTTACGTGTATTCCCGTCAAAACTTCCTTCTAATTTGGTCAGCAATATTTCAGGGATTGAAGCGTGTATGCAGCAAAAAACCATCGTATGTCCAGAACCTTTTGAAGTGTTGGGTTCATCTCAGAATGCTGCTAGCGGTGCACCGCTCAGAGCTCGCGTCAATGCAAGTAACATGGTGAGTTGTGCACAGGCTTTTATTTAACTAGGAAAAAATTTTGATTCATTTTGATATTCATTTAAATTCTTTTGAAAATTTACACTCGAGGTGACTTATGTTTTGTCAGCACGTGAATATTTTGTAATCATTATTTGAGTTTTCAAAAGCTTTTTATGTTTAATAGGTAAATTTCACAGTGAGACTGACTAGTATCGATTGATAATAAATTATGTTTCAGCTGCCTGGTCTCTTTAGCGGCTGCCACATATTTTTACATGGAAACTTCAAAAGTGAGAACTGCCCCTGCAAGCGCGACCTCGAGAGCCTGGTGCGCGCTGGTGGTGCCAAACTCCTCGTCAGAGAACCCAAGCCTGAAAGCATCCCTGAGATCGAGAAGACTGTGCCTTATCACGCCGCGGTTGGCTCGCCTCTGGCCCGATGCTCCCATTATATTATTTATTTGGAGGGCAGCGACACTGAGCCTAAACTCAAGTATGACATGGCGCATATCAAGTCCCTGACGCTTTCCTGGCTCATCGATTGTGTTGATCATTTCGAGCTTTTACCTCCTTTCCACAGTATTACGTAAATACATCAGCAATATCAAGAATAACCAAAATATTATAGCTGAATGCCAACTGTGAGACCTTTGATTATAGCCCACATGTCTGTTTTAGATTATTAAGCATTACTCTGGAAATATAATTATTTTAGAGAAATGGCTCGTTCGTGAATGGTATCTTTGTTTTATTGATTCTCTTTAAATTGGCTCTTTGAATTATTTAAGCATATTAACTTTCCGAGCTTCTTGCGGCTTTCAACCCCAAAATTATTCCCAAAACGATCATTGTGCCCTACTGTTATCTTCAAGTGAATGTTTGTTGGGCGTAATGAAGAAAAAATGTTTATAAAAGATCATGTATTCTCAACACTGGTTTTTTTAATGTAATGACCGTTAGATCAGACGCCACAAATGTGGTTACCTTTTTCAATATTAGAGATTATTTCAGCAGCAATTGAAGACGTGACTGATGAGTACATTTGATAAAATGGGCTCATTTCTGCCGTCGTATGTAACGGCTGTTACGATAAAAAGTAAATTTAGAGAATCGATAACATCCTGATTGAAATTCATCTTTGGTTTTTCATATTGGTATTGATTTTATGAGTTAAGCGCATAAATTTTGATCACTCAACGAGCGAAGCTAACTAATATCACGGTGCACTAACTTTGTCATACATCAAGATGAATTGTTTTTCGCGAGTCTCAAGAGCTTGACTAAAATTTAATTTATTTGTAAAACATGTTTATTTTTCTCAGCTGTGAGACGCGTTTGTTATATAGTACTTTCAACACTTTTAATGAATTATTATTGTGCCGCAACGATATGAAGGAAACTCAATCCTAACTCATCGATCTTTACCACAGAACTCCGCGGAGTGCTTAGCGCCCTGACCCTTGTGGAGTACCTAACAGGGGATAACTTTACCTTATTCATTGACTCTTAAAAGTGTAGTGTAGACACTGAGAACATACAATGGAAAACACTCCATCATTAGAGATATCCTGACGAGGCTGACAGAGATGGCGACGCTGCGCGTCTGCTGGGTGCCGAGCCCCGTGGGAGTGCGTGGATACGAGCGGGCGGACGAGACGGCAACTTCAAACATTGCGATATTCAACGAACAAGTCCCAAGCCGTGACTATTATTTACCCCATAATCAGAGCAGGCATTCGTGGAGTGTGGCAAAATCAACGGCAGAATGTTGAGGGAAATAAGTTGCGAGCTCTTGCCAGGATGCTAAAGGAGACTCCCGGAACTAATTTTAGAACAGACAGCCTCAAGCAATAGCTGACGCAATGCAACCTGCTGCGAGAACTCTAGGCCTGCCCAAGTACACCAACTGGGTGACTCGCATACTAATCTCACGACCTAGCCGAATCCTCACGATATTGTGCCTTCACCGCTCGACTGAGCGATGGGAACCTACGAGCGGACATCTGACTGGGACCACGAAACTGAACTGACTACGACCTCCATTATCGTCCGACACGTCTCTAACACTCGAGTACGACGACGCTGTGCAAAATGAGAGTTTGACCTTCGGCGCGAAATAAATCAAGATATTCTGAAGCGCTAGAAACCTGCTACTACCGGTACTTATTGTGAAGAACCAGGTACACGTAACACGCTCGGCCATGGGTCAATGGGTTTATTGCTCGCGCCATGTTTCTATGCGAGTAAAATTGTTTGAAGGGCGCTTTTAAATATCACGTTAATCTTCTTCCTGTGACGTCTTGCCCCAATGTTGTACGTTTCATGCAGCTTCATCGTTTAATCGAATGATTTCGGTCGCAACATTGGTACTCTGACCATTTGGCCACGCAGGCGGCCTGCGGATCATGAATGCCTTGACCGGCACTTATTGGTGCTTCTCCAGGTGTATAATTTCCACGGGACGGTCCTGGCTGCCCTACCTACTCCTGTTGCCTCCGAAAAAAAACTCGCATCGCCTCCCCACATTTCAGCACTTGCCCATCCCCTCAGGGGGGACCTATGACGCGTGTCTATGCTCGTCTCAAGTCCTATGGGATTTCGCGCTCCTAGAGGGATTGTTCCTGAGCTCCCCACCGCTGAGCTCGCGGTGTCTGACTTCAGGTCTCCGTAGTGGGGTTAAGTTATTATGTAGGTAGGATTCCGTACATTTCCCTTCTCTGTCTCTCTCGTGCGGGTGGCCAGTGACCTCTTGTGCGAGTGTCTTAGTTTCTGTTATTTTTCACTTGTCCCTCCTTGTCACTTCGTCTCTTTGAGATGCTAACGCTACTTCTTTCGAGCCAGGTTCAGCGGGCTGGACATCAGAGACATTCAGCTCATTGCAAGTAATGAATGATTTTTCGGTTTAATTAAGAAATTTTCGATAACTGAGACCTTCCACCTCTTTGGTGATGTTTATCTTGAATTTCGGTTCGAGATGACTAAATAGCTGACTTACTAGTAAACATTTGGCCTCTAAACTAACTAACTAACCCAGCAGTTGCCCTGTTCCGCTTGGGCGACTGCAGTTCCTTTTCACTTGTAGGGCCGTGCCGCCTGCCCTAGGTGCGAATATGCCCTCTAGTGCACGCAGAACTTCTTCACCTGCTCTTTCTTTCCCACGAACAGTAGCGTCTCCTCTCCATGGGATAGTCCTGTGGAGAGAGCGGCCTATTTGGGCATTCTTCCAATTTTTGCCGTCTTGTTTTTCCCGTTTCTCTAGTCCGCCACTGGAGTATCCTTTCGTGCGCACATGTGTGTAGGTGAAGAGGCAAAGAAGAAAACTGGAGACCACTTGCTGGGTTGGACGGAGTAATCGAAGTCACTTCACTTCCTGCGCAAACACCGATAAGTTGGTGGTGATTATGTTTGAGTTATTGAAACTGTCAGTATTTTTGGTTATAAATTTAAAGTAATTGTGATTGACGTTGAATGGCTCGAGCAGTGATGATGAAGTTACATATTGGAATAGTTTTCGGACAAGGTTTCGCTTAAAAATTGCAGCTATTAACAAATTGAAGTTTCCTTAGAACTATACAAGTGACGCATCAAAATAATAGATTTATATTGAATGTCTTTCCTCGAGTAGCTGTAGGATACGAGAAAGCTGCGGACGGCCGACGCGCACGTGAATTAGTTAGACTAGTTATAAAACTCCCAACTATCTTTTATTCCTCTTGGGATGGCTTTGATGCCTACCGAAGAGGCAATGCCTACCTCAATTAATAATGACTTATGTCAACGAATCCTTTGGGTCACAGTTCAGTTGTCTCCAACAGTTAATGATATATATTTTGATTTAAAAGTTTGCGCGAAGAAAAAAAACTTGCAACGCAAAAAAACAAGCCTTTTTGCTGCAAGCATATATTATTGCGGCTTGAAAATGGCTTTCCGGATAGTGACCCACTCATATTGCCCACTCTTAAGAATCACCTGGATGGTGCCACACATCCTACCCCTGTACTCAAATGAGTTCCTATTGAAGCTTTCCATTGTCAGTATATGAGTGATTTATTTATAGAAACCACCAAAAGGAATCTCTATGATTCAACACGAATATGCAACGCTTGAAGTTGCAAATTTTTGTTGCACGATAAAATTACTTCGGTTATACTGCCACCAGACGCATCGCCGTTAGACCTACAACTGGCTCAAAGGTTGTGACCTGTCGATGGACAATAGTGTTTACTCCTGTGAGACGTGAGGTGGTAACTGGTTACTTCTTGTGAACGTTGAGGCATACAGATATTTGAGACTTTGAAAGTTTGAGTTATCCATGCTTTTTGATTTACTATAAGTAAACCAGTCACTTATCTTACTGGCATTACCATACATACATAGGGTAACATAGCATAGAGAAGTTGGCGCTGAAGAATAGGCCTGGATGTCGATGTGGCCTGTCCAGATTCTTGTACTTCGTTACTTGTCCATAGGAGATTTAAAAACAGGTCCTTCTACCGGATCTTTTCCAAACTGTCGATAGCACGATATCTAATGTCAAAGTTGGTCAGGGAATATAAAAAATGGCAAATGAAAAGGCTGTAGTTTGCACAGAACTGGTTAGGGTAAACACGGTATATTCCGACATCGTAGGTAATTCCGTCACTTCTCTAGTTTTTCCTTTATATTAAGCTTTGTTTTAGTTCCATGCGTTCATTGATGGTTGAAATGGTGACGTCATANCACAAAATTACTCCACAATATTGCAACAGTGACACAAATTTGAGTAACGTGTAATACAATTACCATTTCCTAGAATTTGTTAGTAAAAAATAAATTTATATATATAAATTTTTAAAAGTTTTTTGCACCTCTGACACTCTGGATGGCAGTGCAAGTCTGGAAGCTCATGCATTGAGTCATCAACAACCACACGTGGCGGTGGCGGACGGTAGCACCAGTTCAAATTTTACTGCCAACAACTGTATACCAACTACACCCATTGAAGTATGATTTTGCATTCACCCGGGATCATGGGATGTTCAGTTCAGATTTAAATTATGTTTGCTTGTTCAGGAAAAAAGTAACTCATTTTGTTTGTCAATAGAGGAGTTCATGTGCTTCCTTTAATCCTATCTGGATTTCTCTTTTGATTTAATTTCTGATTTAGAGCAAACTAGCTATGCATTGAGAGATTTTTGGCAAATGATATATTGATCTGTTGATCCAATACTGTGTACTATTTTTTAAAACAAACTTGCAGAACAAACTTTCATAGTCCATTTTCCATGCAAAGTTTATTAAATTAAAAGTGATCTTTACCAAATTAAAAACAAAACTAGGGTAAACACCATATTCCCATACCTTAAGGACATAGCAAGAAATAAATGGCTATATATAGAGCACTGTATGCACAACTCAAGTTCTGATTGGTTTACGTCACTCTCAAAACACCATACTACGTGCCAGCAAAGGTGAAACGTCACAAACTGTTGCCATATTTATTTAAAAGCCTTTAGAATTCAAATATACAAAATCGCTGAATTTCGACACTGTGTGTGACTAAATGCTGCGTATTGTGAGACTAATTCCAACAGCGCTTCAAAATCGTAATTCATAATTCCAACACCCTGTGTGAGCTGTGTTGGAACATGACTGTAAATGACACCCTGTGTGTCGGAATTAGTTTTTATGTGTCTAAAATTGTCTCTTAAATCAATTGTCTATTAATTTATTTACCACTTGAAATCAGCAAATTTTAGACACATAAAACTAATTCTGACACACAGGGTGTCATTTACAGTCATATTCCAACACAGCTCACACAAGGTGTTAGAATTCCAACACAGGGTGTCAAAATTACGAATTACGATTTTGAAGCATTGTCGGAATTAGTCTCACAATATGCATCATTTAGTCACACACAGTGTAGGAATTCAGTGACTTTGTAGATTTTAATTCTAAAGGCTTTTAAATAAATTTGGCAACCATTTGTGACGTTTCACCTTTGCTGGCACATAGTGTGGTGTTTTGAGAGTGACATAAACCGATCAGAACTCGAGTTGCGCATACAGTGATCTATTTATAGCCATTTATTTCTTGCTATGTCCTTGAGGTGTCGGAATATGGTGTTTACACTAGTTTTGTTTTAAATTTGGTGGAGATCACTTTTGATTTAATAAACTTTTGCATAAAGAATGGACTATGAAAGTTTGTTAAACAAGTTTGTTTTAAAAAATTGCCCACAGTATTTGATCAACGGATCAATATATCATTTGCCAAAAATGCCTCAATGCATAGCTAGTTTGCTCTAAATCAAAAATTAGATCAAAAGAGAAATCCAAATAGGAAGCACTTGAACTCCTCTATTGACAAACAAAATGAGTTACTGTCAACCGGGGCTACTCGGGACTGGCGGGGAAACTCGGGACGCACCTCCGACACGTCGTAAAACTGTTATAGTAGCGAAACTAATTGGAATATTGCAAAACTAAATATAGTGGCGTAAACGTCAACATTTTTCCTATCTATGTATAGTATAAAAGAAGTCGAAAAATATGACATTTACTAGCTTTGAAGAATTCCTGAAAAAAATGGTGAAAAACGCTATTTTGAAAAGCTACTTCTGCTAAGGTCTGTAGCAAAAAAAATATTTGCCGTATTAAAAAATTTTATAAAAGTTGCACCCAGGTGTCGGCTTGAAAACGTAATTGACAGATTTTGCCTATCTCATTCAAAACAAAAAAATGGCGGCTGCCATTTCCGCACGGCGGGGCTACTCGGGACACCCCCAAAAGCACATTTACAGTAGAACCTCAGTTAGCAAAGGCTCCAGTTAAGAAAAAAATTGATTAAAAACAAAGAATATTGATTACATTTACCTCGCTGAGCGAAAAAAGGTTCACTTATCCTCACACAAATTACAAGCCGTCCTGTAAGCTTAAAGATACAGAAAAAATGCTATAATACTGCTGATATGAAGCTTGCAGTGATCAAGGTTGTTGTAAATGCTCAATGGCATGTTCATGGATAATAGGGTAGGTACCCTCAATAATAGGGTACCATCAACTGGGGGATTCTGCTGTGTTCATAATGATGGCCAAAGCAGGGTCATAAACGGTGGCCAAAGTCACTCAGGCGTTTATGACCTGGTTTACAACCCTGGCGTTTATGACCCCGGCGTTTACAACCCTGCATTTAGGACCCCAGCATGAATCAAAAACATGGCCAAAGTCACCCCAGTTGACAGTAATTGATGTTTATGGTAATATCATATCAATGAAGGAAAAACTAGTAAAAATCACAGAAAATATCATTTATTCTATGTCTACAATGAAAGAGGAGGACTTCAGAGTACTGTTAGTAATTGATGAGTACGCTCTGCATGCTTCAAATATTTTAAAATGAAGTTTTATTCCCAGTGTCCTGTCCCGAGTAGCCCCGTTCGATGGGGCTACTCGGGACACTCTTTTTTTGCTTCTGGCACCTTACGAATAGCATATGGAATTTTTTTGAAGATGCCATTTGATAGCCCTTGCAAAGAGCTATAAAATGAGCCTAAACTTGTTTATGAAATGTTTCATCGTAAGAAGTTGTTAACAAAAAACGCTCAAAACCGTCCTGAGTAGCCCAGGTTGACGGTACTTTTTTCGTGAACAAGCAAACATAATCTAAATCTGAACTGAACATCCCATGATCCCGGGTAAATGCAAAATCATACTTCAATGGGTGTAGTTGGTATACAGTTGTTGGCAGTAAAATTTGAACTGGTGCTACCGTCCGCCACCGCCACGTGTGGTTGTTGATGACTCAATGCATGAGCTTCCAGACTTGCACTGCCATCCAGAGTGTCAGAGGTGCAAAAAACTTTTAAAAATTTATATATATAAATTTTTATGGAATTTTTTTGAAGATGCCATTCGATAGCCCTTGCAAAGAGCTATAAAATGAGCCTAAACTTGTTTATGAAATGTTTCATCGTAAGAAGTTGTTAACAAAAAACGCTCAAAACCGTCCTGAGTAGCCCAGGTTGACGGTACTTTTTTCGTGAACAAGCAAACATAATCTAAATCTGAACTGAACATCCCATGATCCCGGGTAAATGCAAAATCATACTTCAATGGGTGTAGTTGGTATACAGTTGTTGGCAGTAAAATTTGAACTGGTGCTACCGTCCGCCACCGCCACGTGTGGTTGTTGATGACTCAATGCATGAGCTTCCAGACTTGCACTGCCATCCAGAGTGTCAGAGGTGCAAAAAACTTTTAAAAATTTATATATATAAATTTATTTTTTACTAACAAATTCTAGGAAATGGTAATTGTATTACACGTTACTCAAATTTGTGTCACTGTTGCAATATTGTGGAGTAATTTTGTGGCTTGAAATTTGAATGATTTTTCTTCCTGTTGGCTATTGTATGCAAACTATCCATCAGAGATTCAGAGTCAAAGTATCAAATTAGCATGATTGCCAAGTGCAGTGCTGCAGTCACTGCACTTGGTCACATGATGACTAGTCTGATCAGAGTGATAACTCTGACGTAGTATTATGCCAAACTCAAGATTGGATAATTGGCATCTTTTCACTGGAATTTTGTGGCTTTAAATTGCATACTGGATGATAAAAATATGTGGTTTATGATTAATGATATGCATGAGATTGAGGACAAAGAATTGATGATAGTGAGATTATTATTATTATGCAGGATGAAGTTTGTAGGATGATGGGAACTGTGAACTTTTTTCATGTTAATGCAATCTTTTTTTTGCTGAAAATGTTAAGACTTGAATGGTTACAAAATTCTTTATCTTTGCAAACACTAGGTATAATTATATTAATTAATTATTTGATTTGTTCTGTAACTATCTCATTTATGTCTGTCTAGAAGAAATTGTATTTTCAGTTATTTGAGTTATGGTTTAGTTAGCCACTTATAGTTTGTACTTTGTCATCAAGCTACACAACTCAACTGGAATGAAAAGGTAAATATACATATATATAAATTTTTTGAAGTCTCCATACTCGAGTACCTATAGCCTATACTCTATAGCCTTCTCTATAGAACAAAATTTGTTAATTTGTTCTAATTTAGAGTTGCTTGAAGTAATTTATAATTCAACAATACATCCTTAATTTTGTATTGTATAAAGAATATTTGTTGTAATTAGACTTGAATGATAACAAAATAGTGAATTATTCTGTAAATTTCACCAAGATATATATATAATGTTATTTTGTTGAAATAAGGTGAAATGTGGTATACATGCAATTTATTGATCTTTTCCTTAAAAATGGTAATGGAAATGAATCCTGTCAATTACAATCTAACAATTTATTGCGAAGGATGATGAAAATGGGATTGCTTTCATTATAAAGCACTCAGTATAAGTATATATATATACATAATTTAGACACCACATTTGTAATCAATAGGTTGTATTTATATGTTAGTTTCCTCACTTGAAATGTGATACCTATGGGTAGAAGAATCATTATTGTTCACCATCAAAAAATAAGTAAATTTTTGGAATAGCAGCTTTTTTCTGTACATCAGAAAATGTTACTTTTTATGTAAAGAATATGAAATAACAAAAAATCACAATAAATGAAGGAAAATATCCCTATAGGCATCAGTAAATTCTTAAGAATTCATAAATTATCTGAGAAAATTTTGTTGATTAGTGAATGATTTCAGATGTGATGCAAGGAGCTGTTGTATGGCTCTGACAAAATTGTGTGTGTAGCTGAGCTGTTTCTGTATGTTGTCTGAAACCATGATTACTGGGGCTATTGATGATTACCGAAATTCTCAATAAATCACCTACATTTTGCTTTTACAGATGGAGGCAAATTCTTCAAACAAGGAAACGAATGATGTCAATGCATCTGAAGGATCTTGGAGTGGAAGCTCTCAAACTGCTGCTGCTGGCTTCTGCTTCATGTGTTGCCGGCCTGTGACTGGCAATTGTCAACCAACATTAGACATGCTTTCAACGGTAGTGTCTCAGGTACTAAATGAAAAGATGGTTTTCAGGGTTAGGTATAGTCTTTCATGAAAAATATTGGTATCAATACCATATTTCTTTTATTCACATTACTGGTGAAAAAGTGTGATCATTAAGATTAAAAATGTTTGAAATAAAATTTTCAAGCTCATCTTCTTCGCACTCCTAGCTCGTGTATAAAATATGAAGTCTACATGCTTCACAAAAATGATTTGCCTTGACTTCTAATGATGAATTTAATGTTTAATGAAAGTATAGTGCATCTATTTGTTCTGTAGATATTTTGTGAAACTATTTATCTACTTTAAGGAATGTGTAAGAATCTGTAGTGTTCCAGAGACACTAGAAGCAACTTAGATTACCTATTAATATTGTTCCTCTTGAGTTTAAGTGATAAGCAGAAAATATTGGAAAATTTTTATGTTCAATAATGAAGGGCTCAATCCTATTTTTACTATGGCCACTTTTCTCAGGTTTCTGTTCGAGAGAAGGTTGAGCATGAAACTGGATGGCATCTCTCATCAGTGAACCAACTACCAACTGGAGTTTGTTCCCAATGCTTCAATTTTGTGAATGAAATAGACGTTATGGAACATAAGTTAAACTTGTACCGTAATATTCTGAGGTCAAATGTTCAAGCTTCATTGAACAGCTTCCGTGAAGGTAAAGTCCATTTCAATAAGCATTCTACAGAAGTAAAATTGGATTCTCTGCCAGTAGAAAATCGGCAGGATTCCGTTGTTAATGGCAATAATTTTATTGCAGTGGATGATTTTGAAAGGGATTCTGCATCGCCTAAACTTAAACTGTCTGACAAAGTAATGGACACACTCTCTGGCAGCTCCTCAACTGCCCAACCAAGTTCACTTTGCACACAGGTTTCTCTAGCATCTGTACCTTTGCAGTTGTCACCTATTCCTCTAACTTCTAAAGCCAGTTCAGTAAATATTTCAATTCCGTCATCACTGGACAGGATCAGTGGAAATGATTCTCTTAAAAACACTCAATCTTCTATCAGCCAGCCACATGTTTCGCAAGAGTCTTTCGGTAACTGTAACATGCATGATCAAGAACAACCATTCAATCTTTCTGTATGTTCTACATCAAATATGACGCAATCGTACTGTACTTTAACTCAATCTGTGTCAAAAGATGCAGCGAGTTCTTACTTAGCGCAGAAGTCATTTAATTCTGATTTGAATATGGGTAAAAGTTTGTCGTCACAACATGACAATTCGCCCATTACATCAGGCAATCTTCTGGCATTTGAGCTATGCTCAGGTTCAAGGAAGAAAGGACCGGTGGATGCAGTTCAGAGATGTTCATTAGGCAATAGAACTGATTTGGCTACATCAAATGGTGGTTTGGAAGCAACAATAAATTCATTCAAAGTTGATAGTCCTCGGAGTACTACAATTACACAAAGCAATCTGGCGTTCAGCTCAACGTCGGTTACGCCTCCTTCCTCTCGTTATAGAGAAAATGCTTCTGCTTCCTCTCCCACAAATACTATGCAAAAGGTTTCAACAGCTGTTACAACCAGAAACGTGTATGCATCAATTTCAGGTCAGGTAAATTCGTCATTCGTCTCCGATAGTACCCAAAACAACAATGGCCAAAAGTTGGCTTCGTCACAGGCAAGTCTCCTGTCATCTGGTGTGGGTAATTCCCCCCTCCATTCTTCAATTGCTGCTCTCTCCTCACGTGAGTTGCCTATTAACTCGTTTTCTGAAAACTTGAATACTAGTATTGATGGTTCGCATGTATCGTCTTATTCATCTTATACTAAAAATGACGATGTGAAATTTGAAGCAACTGTCAAGCCTGGCAAGGGTAGAAAAAGAGCATCAGATACGTCTACATCTGAGATAGTGCCTTCTTCTTTGGTTACTGCTGTTGAGGTTGCCGATCAAATTTCTCAAACCTTGTCTCCGATCAGATCTTGTTGTGAGCAATCATCGCGAGTGTGTGCTACCACTTGTGTTTTCAACTCTCCCAATGATGATAGTTTAGATTCTTCCATGAATAATTCGTTCCTATCAGCAAATTGCCCTATTTCTTTTTCCTTACTTTCTCCTTCCCTACCCGCCGCTCCGCCACACGCATCATTGCTGTCACCCGAGAGCCATACTGTGTCTTGTACATCACCGACGTTTCTGCTCTCGCTGCACCAATCAGCCCTTGATGTGAATTTGTTCTCCTACCCTTGCGATAAAAATGAGTTCAAAATAAAAGATGACTCCTGTTCTGAATCATCTGATGAGGTCTTGTCGGTCGATGATGAGGTCCCTCAGATTGGTATGTCTCCGCACTCGGTTGCAAGTTGCCCTTCCGGCTCCAAAGAAGTGGGCACTAGTAAGGTGAAGTTTGAGGCACGTCCCGAAAATCAAGTTGATGTGACTCAGAACGTTAAAAATGATCTTAAAATTACTGATAATGATTCATTCAAAAATGGTCAGTTTTCTATTCTTACCTCGATCGGCGATGACGTTGATTCACTTTGTGAAGATGTTGTCAAACAGCATCTATCCAATGAAAAACGTATTGAAGATTCAAAGTACAAAGTTAGTGCACCCAACGCTGTGGATGAGGTTCATGAAGGTGCGGTTATAACAGATTCATCGGTTCCTACTGGTCATCGTCAGATTTTACCCAGCGTTAGTGGCGAGCAATCAAACAAAGACGGCAAACATTATGAGAAAAATTATGCAAAAGCATTTGACTCTCATGGCTATGATCTGAGTATGAACAGTATTCGTTCAACTACTTATCCAGTATCGGAAGGAATTGAAATCCTTGGTTCACCGACAAATGCTAGTAACAAGTTTAGTAACCCTGAAGTTGGATGCACTCGTTCTCACTTGAATACTCATGTTTATAGCTCCCCGCTTTTCAGAAAGTTTCCTAGCTCAGAAACTCGAAAAACTGAAGAAATACTTTCGACAGAAGTCCTCACACACTCAGAATTGTTTCTCTCTTCCATTACCTCAGAAAATGATAGAAATGAACAAAAAAGTGGATCTATATGTTCTGCAAACGTTGTTTCTTGCGAAAATCCTTCTGATCTCAATAAACGAGGTTCTGATAACGTTCTAGAAGCATCAAAGGATTCACTTATCAATCCAATGCGGTCTTTAAATCTAGAATTGGCGCATCTCGAATCTCATTCTACATTCTCTCCATCGCATCCCAACGCTCCGCAGTGTTCAAGTCACCCAAGTATTAGGCCGTTGCATTGCATGTCAAGCAATTTTTTAACCGGCTTTAACAAAGCTGATCGCAATCAATCTCAATTCCCCATTAGCCTGGATGGTGCGTTACCGATTGCATCTATCTTCAATTCCAAACCTAGTTTCCGTTCGAACGAGCTATTAAGAGCTCCTGACCATATAAACAATTCGAAATTTTCTGATGTCTCTGGCGCTAAAATTTCGTCTCCACTGTGCTCTCCAACGTATTCTCACTTCACAGCAGGCATCGTTGCATCGTCTGTTGCTTCAACTTCCAATGAACTTCTGCCCTGTAATCAGTTCACCGTGGACTCGTCCCATCGTCACTTTTCGCCTAATAACAGAAGTGGTTTCTCACGCTCCAACAGAGAAAGCTCCTGTAGCTTCTTCGATTCCAGTTTAGTCCTCACAGCGTCCATTAAGTCAAGTTTAGAGTCCGAAAAAAGTGCCGATGCAAAAATAGGAATAACTATACCCATTTCAACTCAATGTTCAAACCATTCTAGTTCAAAAGATCAATCTCAATTTGGTGTTACATCTTGTGCTTCAAACATTTCGATCCCATTGGTCACGAAATTGTCTGTGAATGGGCATTCGAATGAAAATGAGAACTTGACCCTTAACAGATGCATGGCTAACAAACTGAAACGTGAAAGCTCTTTGCACGAAAATGATTCATTTGATCCGATCGCAGATGCTCAAACTTCAGTCATGGTTCTAGACGCAACGAAAGATGGTGACAATGTCCATCATAATTTACAGTCGAATGTTTCCGTGTCTAAACAAGGAAGGGTTGTGCAATCAAAACATACCATAGGACGTTCGCGATATAGTAAGAGGAAATCAAAGAAAACTAAGACAAAAAGGTTGAATTCAACAAAAAGTTACAAACCTGCGACTAAGAAATCAAAGAAACGCTTTATAAATTCGGACAAATCTAGCTTAAATTCTTCACCTAGCTACTCCATGACGGGCTTTGACCAGGTTTCCGTGTCTAGAAAGTCTCTCACTTCTTGTGCGACTGATGCAGACGGTGCCGTTATTAATTCATTAGATAACAAAAAAACTTGTACTACATCTTCAAGCGACGTTTTGGCTCCTGTGAAAGAGGCCTCGAAATCTGTCGAATCTAGCGATAGTATGGAATTGATTCTAGCTGGGCCATTTGACGATGCAAACTCCTCTGAAATTACAGGCGGTCAAAATTCGTTTACTAAATTGCCTGGCATCTTCTTCGATCAGAAGCTCGAACAGAGTAATTTGAAACAAGAGTCGAGTGAAGATGGTATTTCGTCAACGTTAACAAACTTTAGTAAAGATGATCATACCGCAAATGGAGCAGCCACCAATGTTGAAGTGCTCTCAAAAGAGGAAGAATCTGAAACAAGGAAATTACCCATTAGCGAAGCATGTTGCATGACAAGTCAAACTTTAACTTCTCTGAATTCATCGACATCTGCCTGCTCCCCATGCATAGTTCCTAGTTTAGCCATGAAGAGTTGTTCAACACTTGGTGATTCTAGTAGCTTCATAATTGAATCCAAGCAATGTTCAAGCAGAAGCAAATCTTGCGGGAATATTGCGAATGATTCTTCAAGCTCTTCAGCACAGAGTGCCAATAACAAAACTAATAACCTCACTCAACTTGATGGCGGGGAAACATTCAACATTAGTACAGAATTTTTTGCGCAAATCGTGGCCAGTCCCAATGATAATGGAGCTAATTTCTCAATAGATGACATTCCTCTAAATGGTCCTCTTGGGATTTCAAGTTCATGTGATCGTACAACTATCTGTAACTCTACAGATTCTTTGATCCCAGACCTGGTGCCAAACAAGGTTGTTGAGAGCCGTTCACAAAATATGTACCAAAATACTGCTAAGATTCATTCAACAGATTTTTCCGGCTCCATGGCGCCAACGGCTAAAGAAGTTATTAATTTGCACCATCCTTGTGAAATGACTCCTAGTTCACATGTTCATATCACTTCAACCCATTATGGATCTTCAAACATTAAACAGTCTTCGGACGGTGTTGTCGTGCGTACGGATTCTTCCAATACATTTCATGTCACGTCTCCCGACCGTGTCATTCAAGCACAGTGTGCTCTCGATTGTAGAAATGTGAATGTCTTTCAGCCAAGTTCTAAATCAAATTCATATAACGCGCAACGTTATTTTTCTTCTGAAGGTAGCACATCTGGCCAAGATTCTACTCACGCGACGCGTCTGCAGTATGAATTCGAAGGGGCAATAGCTAGCTGCTCTAAAAGCGTCCTAGCCCAATCAAATTTTCCGCAGAGTAATAGCCAAATGATGTGTCATACAAATCAAGTTTTTACAGGGGGTGTCAAACAGATGCTTTCAGTGAGCAAAGTCCGCTCATCACTTGGACATTCTCAGGTTAGCTGCTCTAGTACCCAAACCCAGGCCATGATTGGTCAGATTATGGAACATAGTTTTGATTTAAAAAAAGCAAATAGTTTGATTCATAGGTCTAACACTGTCCCTTATGTTATTCCAGCAGCATCGCGTTGCGATTCAGTTATAAATAAAAAACCCCAGATCTGGACTAATGCTTCTCCGCAAAATAATCCAACAGTTCAGCAATTTGAAAGTCTGAAAAATGAGGCAACTTATTACCTAAAAAATGATGCTCAACATGCATCCGTAACAAACCACCCTAATCATGGAAATGAAGTTCAAGATATTCAGCTAAACCATCAGTTCCAAAACCCTTGCAATTTTTCCATTTATGAGGAAATGCAGCATCCATGCGTTCCGGTGGTTCCTGGAAACAATTCTAACTTCGTAAATTACTTGCATTCGAATTCTTCCATCCATAACTGTGGCAAAAATCAAATGAACGATAACAGAAATTTCACCTCCGTGTATAACACACAACAACATGGACATCATTTATCACAACAAGGAAGTGTTATTACCGGGGCATCTCAACAGGCCAATGCGTGTGCAACAAATGCCTACTTTCAGCATCCCAATGGACACGTACGCTATCCTTTAAAAATGAATCAAAGTGTCAACAGCTGTGGCTCCACGAGCAATGTCTTGCACAATTCCTCTGATACTGTCGCTGTTCATGATTTTTCAATGCTTGAACAAGAACATTCAATGCTTCTAACATCAAATTTATCAACTCAGCCTAACAATCATGCATCATCTTCTGGTGTTAACTATGCATCCAATCAGAATGCGAATGGAAATTCTGAAGCTACTTTTCAAAGTGGCAGTAAAATTAGAGTTCCTGGAATTAACAGCTTATCGGCTGCAAATGTGAAAACCTTAAATCCTACTCATTGTTCTTCTTCTTCATTTGAACTTCCAGTTGACGCTTCTGCCAACCACTGTGTGGCAAATTACGATGCTACTAACCCGCATCGCTATTTCGCCAATCCCAATAGAATGCGTTCTCACGTCGTAGCCAATGAGCTATCAAATTGTCAGGCAATGTGCAACACTAATGAAGTTGCTAACTCTGTTTTACCCTCGTTACCTTATGGGATTAATGTTCAACATGGGGTATCAAATGGAAGCATGCATTTTCCTTCTGTTCAGGTACACCATAATGCTTTGCCGCAGCCCAGTAGTGCTGTTTACAGTGACGGTCACGGCCAACAAAATGTAAATGTCATGCCTCCACAACAAATGCATTACCTTCCTGTACCATCTGGGCACACTTACTGCGATGTCTCCTGCATTCACAGCTGCATGAGTTACCAGTACTCGGACTATGCAAGAAATAAACACTCGCATTCACTGCCTGAATATATTGGCCCGCCAAACATTGCTGAAGTACCTGGTCAACAGCAAGTCTTTCATGAAACGATCAACCACTCGTATTCCACTTCTGTGGTGCCACCAGTTACTTCCTCTTGCTTCAATTCGGCCGGATTATACACGTCAGTTAAAAAATTCGATTCTCCAAATTCATTGCATTCAAATCAAAGTTCGTCCTGTTCAGTAGAAGTCACGCAAAGGAATAAAAAATGTAGTAATTCTCATATCGCTTTGTTGAAAAATCAAATCTTGTCAACAGAGCCTGATGTATTGGAAAAATCAGCCGTTTATGATAATAATGCACAAAAGATAGCAACTGGATATCATGTGGCAGAAATAAATCCAACTCATTTAGCTGTGCCGGCGTCCACTATGAACGTAGAGAACCCCAATTTAGAATTGGCAGAAGCTAATCCTACCTCTGCCTCTAGAAATTTGAAGAAAGATCGCTTTGGGACTGAGAACTTGCAACCCAGCATGACAGTAGCCAAGTGCGATGTCATCGAAGCAAGCACTTGTTCAAATAATGTAGATACTCCTAAGTTTAATCAAACTTCAAGGCATCCTTGTGAAAACGACAGTTCTTATAATTTAAATGATTCTCAACCAAAGGTAAGCTTGAGTCGTGATGTGATGACTCAACACGATTCTTCTTTGAACACGAATAATTATAATCTTTCCAAATTTACAAATAATTCAACCGTAAATTCAGAGATAACTGTTGATGAATCAAATTACATCGTGCGGACTTCAGCCGATTCCCCTATTCTCAACTGCACCAACCCCTGCTCTGTTGTGTCAAGTTGTAAGACAACTACAGAAATGGACATCGACATTGAAGAATGTGATTTTCCTGATGACCATTTGCTCGTTCTTGATAACAAATCGGATTACAAGTCAAGTCAGACAATGAGTTCCGACTTCGAGAACCAAGATCCAGCTGAAATTGCACCTAATCCTGATCCCCAGGATGTTATGAAGTTGAGTGTTTCAGGCGCTGGCGATTTTAGCAAGAATCTGGGGAACGCGCAAACGGACGGATGCCCTGATGCTGTTAATAGTGAATTTGTTGAAGAGCCTGAAGAGCGCTCTTTGAATCGCCCTTCTACTCCTGAACTACTTCGCAATGTACAGGAAGCAACCGAGTATCACAAACCCACCTTACTAACTCGTAATTTGAAGATGAAAAAGCATGCAAAGCTGCAAATTTGTAGACAGTGCGACCAGGTTTTCTCTACTCGGAACTGTTTGGTGAGACACATTGAACGAAGACACAAAATCAGTATGATGCATTTCAACTGTCCTAATTGCGCCAAAAAGTGCAACTCAGAACGGTCATTGAACAGGCACATGCTTCAGCACAAAAATTTTACTTGTAAGCTCTGTCATGAAACATTTTCAAGTCGAACTGACTTCAAGAAACACATTGATCAACATTCACGAGGAAGTTTATCATGTACATCTTGTAACAAGGACTGTTCCACAATCCAGGCTCTAATTTCTCATATGAATACCCACACAAAGGAAAAACCAAATTATTTATGTACCACTTGCCAAAAAGAATTCGCCAATAAACGAAATCTAATAGTTCACGTACGTACACACACGGGAGAACGCCCCCATAAGTGTTCTAATTGCCGGAAAACTTTTAGTGTAAGAAGCAATATGCTTGCGCACGAGGAAATGTGCCTTGATAAATGCAGATTCAAGTGTGATCTATGCTCCAGAGGATTTCCTTTAGAATCTGTGTACAAGCGACATCTCGAGGAGCACGAAGGTAAATTTGCTTATACGTGTACGGTCTGTCAGAAAGGTTTCAGTAAGCCCTCGGGTCTGAAAGCACATTCTAGGACGCATGAACTTGTGCAACAATTTCCTACCAATCACTCCAATCCAGTGAAAACTCAGAAAAAACAAAAGGATCGGAAAACTAAAAAATCTTCTAAGTGTCCTGTATGTGGCAAACAATTGTCTAGACATCAATTACTAAAAGATCATCTAGCTCGTCATGCAAATGAGAGAAATCATAAATGTCCCGACTGTGATCAGGTATTTTTTTATAAAAGTAATATTCGGTCTCATCAGTTAGCACAACATTCTAATGTTAAAAAATTCGCTTGCCCTGATTGTTCCAAAAGTTTTGCCTCCAAAAACTCGCTAAATATTCATCTTACTGTCCACAGTGGTGTGAAGCCACACCAATGCCATGTTTGTGGGAAAGCTTTTTCCATTCGTAGTAATTACACACGTCATCTGAAATGTCATGCCACTCCTTCGATCAATTCAATACCCGCTAAATTGTTTTGAAATGCTTAATTTATTAATGGACTATAAATCTCATTCTTGTTTAAAAATCCTTGTGGAGGCTGATGAAATACCTGATGATTGGTTTAAAAAAAATAGCTACTCCATAACGTAACTACCGTTGATCAAAAGGTCAGACACTGGTCAAATAACCTATAAAAATGGAGCATCGAAGTCCGAACAAGTCCGAAGAACACACCATTCATATGCACAAGTCCGAAGAACACAACTAAGATCTGCCTCTGGCTTTGAATTAATAACAAAACTTTTAGCCGCTCTGAGTTATTCTAACCAGATCAACATTTCCCTTGGGCATGAATTGATCGATCCTTTTGTCATGAACTATCACGATGAATTTCAACTTGGCAAGTTCTTGCTGCTCTGGGCGGCCACTACTCTTGTAACCTCACTCTTGTACAGCGATACATTGTACAGTGAAAAGACCATTGTCCTGCTTTTGGGACGTTTCATTTCCCCATGAGTGCGTTTGAAGACGATTTTGATCGAAAAAATCGTAATTCATAGTACAATTTTAGAAATACCTAAATAATTAGGAAAAACTCTTAAACTTGTCTGAAACTTATTAAACTTGAAGGAATTAGAAACCATACAGGAATACGCGACTTGCATCCCAGACGATGAAGATTGCGGGTAATGGTAGAAGTAAATATCCTCAGTTTAGTTTCAGTTAGACAAAGAAAATTTTTCTGTACTTATATATAATTATGACTCGATTTATCAAGCTACGATGGAAGAGACAGTGTTCATGCGTGCCAAACTAATTCAAGTAATTCCTGGTTATTATGTTCGTTGCTGGAAATGCACAGCTAGGGGCTGTTATTAGCTGCATTATTTCTGAATTTTATTTATTGTCATTTGTCAAGTTCAGCCTTATTAATTGTTTAATTTCATACGTAAACGGTTGGTAATTGAATAAATTTTTATCATTTGTGGATAATTTTTGTGGTCAGAATAGAAATTTTAAATATTATTTGTATGTGAAAATTTTATTAACTAAGTTTAACATTTGGCGAATGCATGCAGTCGGTGCCTGACGCTCTCGATAATGAATAAATTTTCCTCATCACGATTCGTTTGCATTTTTTATCCAACGCATGTCACTAGTAACAAATAAATCTTACCCTCCGGTATACACTGTGAGCTGAAAGCATTTATGGAGTGGTAATTTCGGTCATCTGTGCATCACTTGCTAATTGTGATAAAAAAAATATTTAATTGATTGCAGACTTTGTTAATTTTTCCAAACTTGTTTCATTGTTTGAAAAAAACTACAACTGGCCGGCTGCAGGATAAGTAGGAAAACTGCACGGTCTTGATGTCTGAACGGACTTCTTGATGTCTGCACGGACTTCTTGATGTCTGCACGGACTTCTTGATGTCTGCACGGACTTCTTGATGTCTGCACGGACTTCATGATGTCTGCACGGACTTCTTGATGTCTGCACGGACTTCTTGATGTCTGCACGGACTTCTTGATGTCTGCACGGACTTGATGTCTGCACGGACTTAATGATGTCTGCACTTAAGGTTCTTGCCTAAACCATTAAACATATCACATTCAACGAGACTCTTGGTAAAGCCGTAACATTGCACTCGAGTTACATTTCAGAGAGACGTGAAAGTTACATTGAGACTTGTAATAATACCTTGTCCCAGCACTTGACTACTGTGGTGTAATTAAAACTTCTTAATTGTAAGTCTTGCCATTATTGGAGCTTCACATTTTGATATAGTTTGATTTATCTGCTTTACTGGATTTAGATATTATGAGTCCCCTCGAACTGTGTGTTCAAATGAATGAGATATTAGTATTTCTTAACCCGATAGTTCGTTACAATTCATTGTCTTAGTGTGGCAATTTGTGTCATCAGAAAAGATTTGGTCGTGCGGATAATTTCAATGATAAATTTTTGTCGTAGCCTTTTGCTTGATCGACGACTCGCACATTAAAAGAACTTTTTTGAGAATAAGCCATTACGTGCAGACCATCGTAGCTGTCGTGCGTGCAGACCATCGTAGCTGTCGTGCGTGCAGACCATCGTAGCTGTCGTGCCATTACGTGGAGACCATATCGTAGCTGTCGTGCCATTAAGTGCAGACCATCGTAGCTGTCGTGCCATTAAGTGCAGACCATCGTAGCTGTCGTGCCATTAAATGCAGACCATCGTAGCTGTCGTGCCATTAAGTGCAGACCATCGTAGCTGTCGTGCCATTAAATGCAGAAAGACCACCGTAACTTTCGTGCTCGAAGAAAGTGTGTGGCTAAAGTGGTTGAGATCGGAATTGAAAGTTACGAACGACCGTCCTTCTCGTCATTAATTAGTGTAAATATGTATTATGTTGGTTGGGGTAGAGAATATGAAGATTCAATATGTTTATTGATGGATTGAAGAATGATGCCGCTGACCAACACTTGCGTGATGGTCGTTAGAATATAGACATGACATAGCATAGTAATGAAAATGACAAAATAGCATAAAACGACATCGAAGGAATATTTATTGCAAGTCGTAATTCAGTTTAACAGTTACACTTTGAAACATTTAATTACATTATAAGAATTGAATTCTAGAGAAGAACTTGGCAGCTTACCCTTAGCAGTTCACTCGTCGATGCTGACCAGAAAAATGAAATGAATAACTTTGTAACCAATTTATACATCATTTGGAATTGTGACAATTTTTAAAGACTTTTCATTCAATTCAAACGACTTTGGGTTAAGAATTAACTGGATTGATATTTTTTGGGCACGAACGACGATTGTTGTTTGCCCGATGGACCTCACATTAACAATGAATTCGTTTGCTGTTTCGAGATGCCATACATAGGAGTGCGTCCCATTGCGTATCCGCAATACCGGACTATATAAAGTCTAGTCTCAAAATTCGTCTTCATCATCGATTTTCTTTGAAAATTCGATTAAATAAAAATCTTTAACAAAATGGCTGGTCTCCGAAGGCTCATGGAATGCTCTTCCATGTCGGTCTAAGACTCTAAGGCATGTCAGACTGGCGAGGCTCTGACCTCAGTAGCTGGGATCTGTTCTCAGTGATGGTCCGAGGTGAGCCACCAGAGCTGAGCCGAAGCGAGGCGCCGCCCCCCCAAAAAGGGGAAGAGATTCATCGCATTCTTGCGGCGACTCTTTTGTGGCTGTTGTAGGCCACGAGGCGGGAGCGACGGTGGCCGGTGAATAATTTCAACTTAGAAACAATTCCACCTTGATTATCTATTTACACCGGGAAACCATCAAAATTCTCGAACTTTTCATTAGAAAATTACTAGTAGAAAACAAGTTCTTCGGTATATTCTGTCTTACAATAACAAAATTGGTTCATCCTTCATTATACTTGTCTAGCACCCAATTCTTGAGGAGTTGGGGCGCTGCCTTCACCTTGCTACTGCTTTGCTCTTGGAGGAAGTGGGGGGTCCTTCGGGACCCAAAAAATAAAACATCCTGCCTGCTGGGGAGCTAGTCGTGGAATACGTTTCATGCCTGAACTCCAGTTTCCTGGAAAGCTCTAGCGCGAGTTGTGACTGGAGCTTTCCTGCTTTTTTTGGAGTTGCAGGAATCTCGCTAGATGAATTATTGTTAAAAGAAACACAATCAAGCAGCGAGTCCGTAAAATTATGGATAATATGTAACATTGGAGTAGAGAGGTATCAGTAATGAGTAGGAATTTTTCGATATTCCTGGGGAGGCTGCGTTTATTGGAATCCTATCATTCTGAAATGCTTTAGACCTAGGACCCTTTGGAAACCCTCTTACTAGGTTTCATAAATTTCTAAGCTTGGCTTGACGAGGTTGGGGCAAGATCTGCCCCGAAACGCGGGCTGTCAAGGTAAGCTTTCGCCAAGACAATCACCTCTGGGGAAATTTTTAAATTTCTCGGGAGTAATTCATGGATGACAGAAGAAAATTTTCAGCCTTATGAATACATTTTGGCTTAACTCGTGAAAGGACCACAGAAGCAGCAACAATTAAGAGATACGTGTGAGATTTCATTTCGCTTTAATTTTGGAGTATGTAGAATCCAATTTGTGTTAGATGTGTAGTCCAATATTTATTTTTGAGCTTGAAATTTTTGAGCTCAACGCGATTGCATGACTGACTAATGTTGCTCGCTGGTGCACTCTAAACAGAATTCACAATTTTTTAACAACCATATTAGAATGTAAAAGTATTTTTTGTCGTGTACTGGATTTTTATTTTTCAAAAATCAGACAAATATTGTTCATGATTGAAAATTGGTAATATTTTTGGCTTAATATTTTATTATTGCATAATAATGAACATTGAGGTAAATAGTTGAATTTTAGCTAACAAGGTTACATGAAGCTACAAAAATGGTGTTCAACGGACTTTAAGGCTTTAATAAAAATAATTATGACGTTCACAATAAATGATAATGAGACTTACGAATTCGAGTCACCACTATTAGTGCAGACCATTATGCCATTAAGTGCAAACCATTAAGCAGCTGTGCCATTATGTGCAGACCATAGTAGATGTCGTGTCATTACGTCGTACAGACAGACCAGCGTAGCTGTCGTGCCTCTAAATGCAGACCATAGCACCTCTTGTGCGATTAAGTGCAGACCATATCCGCTGTCGTGTCATTAGGTGCAGACCATAGCAGCTATTGTGCCATTACCTGCAGACCATCGTAACGGCCGTCCCTTCAAGTGCAGACCATCGTAGCTGTCACGCCATTAAGTATAGACCATCGTAGCTGTCGTGCCTTTAAGTGCAGACCATCGTAGCTGTGCCTTTAAGTGCAGACCATCGTAGCTGTCGGAGAGACGACGTTCATTCATCAATAATTAACGTGCATGACTCGTTGTGTCTTCAAATATTTTCACCCCGGAAGGAATTAAGCGGACATCATCTGTACTACCATAAAGCTAGCTATTGTGCCATTACCTGCAGACCATCGTAACTGCCGTGCCATTAAGTGCAGACCATCGTAGCTGTCGGAGAGACGAGGTTCATTCATCAATAACGTGCATGACTCGTTGTGTCTTCAAATATTTTCACCCCGGAAGGAATTTAGTGGACATCATCTGTACTACCATAAAGCTGGTCAATATTTGTTGCGTGTAGCTGAATAAAAATTTCTGTTATTGTGAGAAAACGTAAATTCTATACATACAGCCCTGTGGAAATGAAATAATTAACCTCTATAAGTCACGTCCACATTTTAGCTCAACTCCACACAACGTCCACATTTAGCGAATCAACTCTATTTTTCTTCTTCAAGTCTACCTGTTGTAAATATTTTTAAGGTAGCATAAAAACCAGAAAAAATATCTAAAGAAAAGAAATAATATCAGATAGTTCCACTACTAATCCAACTATTGGTTTTATCTACCAACACTACTATTCGTATTATCTACCAGCACTACACGAGTCCCACCAACTATACGTATTATCTACCAGCACTACACGAGTCTCTACTATACGTATTATCTACTAGCACTACACGAGTCACTACTATACGTATTATCTACCAGCACTACACGAGTCTCATTCATCAATAATTAACGTGCATGACTCGTTGTGTCTTCAAATATTTTCACCCCGGAAGGAATTAAGCGGACATCATCTGTACTACCATAAAGCCATACTTCAAAACTCGCTAAGTGAACGTAAGTACTTACGCTCTATTTTCTTGTCTATTATTAGTGGATTATGCTGGAAAGGCCGTCAATGATTGGTTGATAAACTTACGATCTCCTAACTTTTTTTGAAAGTATGGCCCCACTGGTTAATATTTGTTGCGTGTAGCTGAATACAAATTTCTGTTATTTAGGGAAGACAAAAATTCTATACATACAGCCCTGTGGAAATGAAAGAATTAACATCTGCAAGTCACGTCCACATTTTAGCTCAACTAAGTTTAATTAAATATATATGAACGCAAAGTCTGGAATATATGGGTCACGAATCAACTCTATTTTACTTCTTCAAGTCAAGTCGTTGTAAATATTTTTAACATGGCTTAAAAACAAGAGTAATATCTAAAGGAAAGAAATAATATCAGATAGTTTCACTACTAATCCAACTATTAGTATAATCTACTAACACTACTATACGTATTATCTACTAGTACTACACGAGTCCCACCTATTATACGTATTATCTACTAGTACTACACGAGTCCCAACTACTATATACGTATTCTCTATTAGTACTACACGAGTCTCTACTAAACGTATTATCTACTAGAACTACACTAGTCCCAACTACTATACGTATTAATAATAAATAATTATATTAGCGGTTTCAGCGTTTATTAGGCCGTAGGCCTGTCGCCGATTCTTAACATCGCAGAACATTCACAGCATTTTGCGGTCTCGAACTCGCAACTCACTGCTACACTTCTGCTGTGCTTAACCGCCCGGCCTCCTCGCTGATTCTGACCAGAAACTGGCGCACAGAGCTGGGATCGAACCCGCGTCTCTCTGCACCAATCTTGGTACTCGGAACTTTAGCCACTGGGCCACCCTCTACTCTACTAGCACTACACGAGTCCCAACTACTATATACGTATTCTCTACTAGTACTACACGAGTCCCTACTAGCCGTATTATCTACTAGTACTACACGAGTCCCACCAACTATACGTATTATCTACCAGCACTACACACGTGACCCCACCAAGTGGAGGCGAGGACTCCCTGGTGATGGCGTCGTTGCAGCCAAGGGAGGAGTTACGCTGCAGCTGCAGGGAGTGGCGGCGTGGGCGGGGCTTGCGCGGCCCGATGTGGCGGCAGCAAGGGATGATGTAGCGCCCGTACACAAGCGGGTTCACCACTGAGTTGCTCACCGCGAGCAGGAAGATCATGTCCTGCAGGGACTTGTTCATGTTCTCGAAGGAGCTTTTGTCGATGAAGTTCCTGGAAATATAAAGTATTTTGAGCTAAATTGGAGTAAGTTTCTCACAATTATGTAGTTTGAAGGACATAAGTATCTTGAATGCAATGAATTTAATTCGACATCAAACCAATGCAATACTACCATTATGTAGGAATCGCATAATGTTTAGCTAATAATTTTCATTAATATATTAAATTATGTCTAGTATAACCGACTGACCACATGGTTCCGAGCGCATACGGCGTCCAGCACCAGATGAAAGCGATGACGATGATGAAAGTCATGCGCAGAGTGCGCGTGCGGGCGCGCTCCAGGCTGGACAGGTTGGAGCGACGCAAATGCATCCTCCCCCCATGCTGCTGCTGCACTGCCTTGGACTCCTCGTCTGGAGAGGAAAACTCGCTGCATGACTTAATAAGGGTTTTTCGGGGTTTTAAAGCAAAACCCATGGTTTGAAAACTATAGAATAACTTGCTCGAGTGTCTTGCACGAAAACTGTTTTATTCGTATTTATTGATATTATTTATAAAATTTCTATATTTTTTACGGGTATAATTGTTTCTTACAAAGATATTTGTGAATTTTTTTTTGTGAGGCGCAAAATTTAGTGTAAATCAGATATCCTATTAAAGGTGGCTTGCAACATTGATATTGTTCATAATTATTTTTTTATTGGCTGATTTTGTCTCTCAGTATTTCAGGAAACATACATGTTGCAGATGATTTTACTCACTAACTCGGAACATGTCGTGCATCGTATGCAAATAAATAAATTTTTTACAATATTTTTGTCGTTTCACTTCCTTCCCTAGTTGAGCCATCAACAAAAGTTCTCATAATTATCTAAACTAAAAAAAAGGCGAAAGTTCTTCAATATCTGTACAAATTGAAATTAAATTGGCGTGAGAGACCGAACTCGAGGGAATGATCGTGATTTATAACATGCACCAACAACGAGCATTAGCTTGTGAGGCACCTACCGTACTCACTCTCACTGATGGTATTTCTAACACACAGCTATCTTACTCACTCTCACTAATGGTATTTCTAACACACAGCTGTCTTACTCACTTTCACTAATGGTATTTCTAACACACAGCTATCTTACTCACTCTCACTGATGGTATTTCTAACACACTGCTATCTTACTCACCCTCACTGATGGTATTTCTAACACACAGCTGTCTTACTCACTCTCACTAATGGTATTTCTAACACACAGCTGTCTCACCTTCGGTTTCTTTGCTCTTCTTGCTAATCTCGATGATTATCCTTGTGTAGGCAACAAGAATGATGGCGAGAGGCATGAAATAGAGGAAACATATGCAGAGAATCGTGTAGACCATCTTGGCATGCGGCATGCCTTCGAAAAACTCAAACGACACGCACTGTTTGAAGTTCTGGTGAACGGGATGAGTTTGGACGCTGAACATTACCATCTGCAAAACAGTGGTACAAAAGTTTAAATTATATTCACCAAAATGTGGTTGTAATCAATGCATTCGTTCTTTGTGTACGGTAATTAAATATAACTATAATATTTAATTGAATAATGTGACGTATTCCGATTTCCAAGAAGTTTACATTCTCAGCTCAAATTAACTGGAACATCGCAAAAAAAAAAATAGCAACGAAAACTCTACGGAACTTCAAACGAATATTTAAGTATCTTCGATTCATTGGATATTTTATAGTAATATATTTTTTGCACTGCAAACACTCTCAACGCTGTTTCCAGTTAATATAAGAAAATTTATATAAAATATACGATACATAAACACATTAGTGGTCTTATTCATGCAATATCTGGGTTCTTCAATATTAGAAGCAATGCTTCAAATTTCATCACAAACGCCTGTAATTTTCTATTATGTTTTCTCTGCTCCTAATGATAAATATACGTAAAATTTACATCGAATTCATAAAAAGCTTTGCTAAAGATGATAATTCCGTATCCTAAATTTACATTGAATTTATAATAAGCTTCGCATAATACGAAAATTCCGTATCCTACTCGCCTGCGGTAATGATATGTACGCTGAGATGACCCATGCGAAGAAAAGCATGATTTTCCCCCGGCGTTGCGCATCGTTAACTTTGAGTGGGTGCAGCACGGCGAAGTATCTGTCTAGACTAATGCACACCAGAATCATCGATGACGTGTAGAATCCAAAAGCCGAGAAAAATTTGTACACCTTACAGCCAAGTTCACCAAACGGCCACTGAATGGTCAGGTTCCAAATCACTTCGACTGGCAAAAATACGAAAGTGACGATCATATCCGCAAAGGAGAGGTTTAAGATCATCAAGTTAATCCTTGACTTGCATCGTCGGTTGTTGAACAGCGAATTCAAGACCAGGAGATTGCCCACAGCTGCCATCGGAAACAGGACAGAGTACGCGATCAAGTTTGTCATGTTAACTCGCAGGAGCTCTTCGGGGAAGCTCGGCGCCATGAGATCATTGTTGGATAGTTCCATGGAAGATGCGTTCATGCCGCCATCCATGTCTTGTAAACCACTGAGACATCGCTCAGGAAATGCTGCTTTTTCTTCACGTGACATGTTCGTCGCGCGGTGAACACATGCGCTCATCATCTCAACTGACTTGAAGAAGTTTCAAGTTGCTTCTAAGGTTTCAATTTTACTTAAATCTTACTCAATTTCCTATGCCTTAGAAATTAATTGTATCTGCAAACATGCTGAGATTGTCGTTGATCTCATGAAGGTGTTTTCCTTGTGTATTTTCTCTTAGTAATTAATTCTGATATGTAATTCAAAAATATAACAGTATTCGTTAAAATAATGCGAATTTATAAAATATCTACAAATCTCCACCAATAGTACAATATTGCTCAGAAACATCACACAACAGAATTTACTTCAGGATTGTATGACTTGATTCATCCCCAAACTCTACTATTTTCTCAATTCTTGACGGTCATCGAAACGTGTTTTTCTACAGCCAGTGTTGTAACAGTTGAGAATTGAGAGGTATTATCTTGAAGAACCTTCAAGTGTCGTACGTACTCTCTCGCACCAGGGAACGAACATATAAATAGCAAAATTAAAATTCATTCAGTCATTTAAAAACCATTACATACCCAATGAGCAAGTAAACATTCAACCAATTACAAATTTAAAACTCAACATGTACGCATATTAAACCATTAAATATCACAAACTCAACGTGCGGTAAAATCTTTGATATTATGTGAATTCTACAAATTCGTGAATATAGCCTGAGCATAGCATAGTTTAAATTAGTCATGATCTGACTACATATACCAGCTGTAGCAAAAGCTTGAGCGTATGATATGTTAAATATTCTTGTCTTATTGCGTGCTTTGTTTTTGGATGCACTACCACCACAGCGATGCCAATGTAAGCTTTAAAAACGAGCTGTCGTTCATCAGAAGTTACGCTGATAGTGAAATTTTGTTTAGAAATTGCGCTCTATTACGATATACAGTAGAAAAATCGGATTTTCGTGTATACTTCTCCGAAATACGCACTCTTTAATGTTTTGATAATTACTTAGCTTCATATTCTGTAGTCTAATCCCAAACACCACAAAGTCAGGTCCATTTGAGAGCACAATTACGCAGCCACCAAACTCTCTGTAGGCGGACGCCGAACTGCTCTCTTCGGAGCGGAGGCCCCGCTGAGAGCAGAGATGAGTTACGGAGTTCCGACGCAAAAGCTTTGTCAGCTGTAAACAGATCGTCTATTCATATATGTATGTACATGGCATATAAAATTTCCTCGTGTACTTCTACTTTAATCACTAGAGACAAAGCAACGCAGGCATCTATAATTTCATTTGCTCGTTACGCCTTTGGAAATGATACAAACTTCAATTTTTTTNGCCCCGCTGAGAGCAGAGATGAGTTACGGAGTTCCGACGCAAAAGCTTTGTCAGCTGTAAACAGATCGCCTATTCATATAGATGTACATGGCATATAAAATTTCCTCGTGTACTTCTACTTTAATCACTAGAGACAAAGCAACGCAGGCATCTATAATTTCATTTGCTCGTTACTCCTTTGGAAATGATACAAACTTCAATTTTTTTCGCCTAGACTGCCTAGAAATGGTCTCTGAATACAGTTTGATTTATTAAACATACTCTTCAAAAAGTCGTAGCATATATGTATTCTCTTTGTGATCAGACTTTACTAATATTCTATATCTCGCTTCTATTTGAAATTGTACTTTAATGCTCGCGTATTCAAGATGAAATGAAAACATCGATGACGTCCACAATTAAAGCTCAATTTTATCACCTGCGTTGTAAGGCTGCATGGTCTAATTGCCTAGCCTGGCCTCAACGATTGGCTCTATGGCCTCAGGAAGACGATGACGTCCACAGTTAAAGCTCAATTTTATCACCTGCGTTGTAAGGCTGGCCTAATTACTTAGCCTGGCTAAACTCAACGATTGGCTCCAGGGCCTCAGGTAGACGATGACGTACGTGGCGACTGGCGAGACACCTCATTTCATCACTATGGCATTTCATCATTGGGACATTTCGTCAGTATCGCAATTCGCCATAAAATTTTGTCATTGCATAAAGTGCATTTTTCAAACATAATTATATGTAGGTTAGGTTTGGTTAAATGGGTGTATGATGAAAGGATTAAATGGCTCAATGATGATATGCGTCAACGATGAATTTTTATGAAGAGGTGCCAGGGAACCGATGACGTCGTCACGTCGAGCTTGTGAAACATGAAGACCATGGTTGAATTAGTTGTATTAATTCAACCATGAGGAAGACGCTCCCCCTGTTAATTGAGTGATAGTTGGATTGTGACAGGCTGCATGGCGAGAATCTAGCTTTGCGTTGTGATTTGTTAACTGGAGCGCCCATCGCGTGCTTTCTTTGACTCACAAGTGACCACTAAATTATTAATTTAGTTTTACTTCTTGTTTATTTGAGTTGCTCGATGTTCTAGATTAATTATTTATTAATTGGCTGTATTTTTAACTAGTAAAATTGTTCAAATTAAATCGCTTATAGTCTTTCTTAGTTATATTATTTTTTAATTGTTCAAATTATATCGCTTATAGTCTTTCTAAGTTATATCCTTTTTTATACGTCCAATTTGAGCTGGGTATATTTGTCCGTAAACCGACGACATTCACTGATGCCAAAGCCAAAGCTGTATTGGACATTTCTTCCAAACTTTTGCTTACGGGTGTAGCGGATCTCGTTATATAATTACTTTTATATTCAAGAAAAGAGTGTAGAGAGAATTCATGCTGGCGAATCACTGCTTCCGTTGTCAACACTTATTTCCGGTGGATCTCCCACAGCTCACTTGTGCCGACTATAACAGCCCACTTCTTTTATTCCAGCAACTGCTCCAGTGGGATCTCGGTAAGCTCACTAACTTAGAAACAGTGCCTTTAGGATTGCCATTTTCTTCAGTTGTGCTCAGTGTAGTGTAGCCGTGATAGATAGGTTCTGGAGACAGTGCAAGGTTCTGTGTTAGTCGATTTTGACATGCCTAGAGCTCACGTGATAACTTGCTTACTTACAAAATTAAAACGTGTGTCCAAAATTTACGAAGCTCTGTTTCGCAGCGACCTCACGTCAGCTCACATAACGCAAACATTGCTACTCCAGAATTTTTTATTTTCGAATCAGACACTTTTTCGGCATGATTTTGTCGGCTGAGAGCCGACGTTTCACACCCCGAAGATTCCCAGAGCGTCGTCACATTTCTCACAAAGCCAAGTTTTTGGGGTCACTTTCCCGGACGGCACGATTGCTTGCATGGCCAGGCCCCCTTTCGATCTGGACCAGCTGCTGGAATAGAAGTAGGCTGTTAGAGATCCACCGGGAATAAGTGTTGACAACGGAAGCAGTGATTCGCTAGCATGAATTCTCGCTACACTCTTTTCTTGAATACAAAAGCAGTTATGTAGCGAGTTCTGCTACACGGGAACTCATACTTCATACGGGGACTCATACGTCATGAGCGCAATTCTCAAGCTCACTGGCCTAATTGACTAATAAATTTTAAATTGATTTAACACCTTTTGTAATACAGCCGAATAGACAGTACTTACAAGAGTTGTCAAGCTTTTGGTCTTAGTCTTAGTGTCAGTTGGAAATTTCACTTATTGCAGGTGTTGCAAACACTAATACTGATATGTATAATTTTAACTTTTAACTTCAACGTTGCATCAAGTTCTGGCATCGATAATTTTTCTAGACTTCTCGAAACCACGCATCTGGAACTCAAGTGCCTTGATGTCACCATTGAACATGTCCCAAAGGATGTTTGCAAAGCGTGAAACATATAAATCAGATGCACTACCTCATGCCTGTTATAAGCATAAGCTGCAAGTTTTAGGCGAGGCCTCACCGATTGAAATGCCTATCGAAATTAAGCTTGAAAATTCCGCTAAATGCATAATGTCAAAATAAATGCATTGCACCAAGCGTTCTGCTGGTCCTACACCTCGGCCTCAGCCGAGTTCTATTAGTCCCCGCATCACTTCTCGATCTAGGTTGCTCCATTAATCCATAATTTCTATTTAAAAAATGTCAGGGGAAGCGCAATTAAAAAAAATTCTGTCATTTGTGGGGCGCGTTTCATAATTTTAAGACCATTGGATTAAGCTGCTGCAGCCTTAGCCAAGCTCTGTTGCTCGATCAGAATAGAAACCATATGAATTCATAGCCTGCAACCATGAAAAATTATGCACGTCTCATAGCCATGATTTATAAAACATTCAACACATCCTCTAATCTGTATAAAATTGCTAGATGTTTTAGGGAAAAATATGAACCCGGGGATGATTTTCGAAACAGTACCTAAAGTTAAGTTAATGTCTTCAGAAATGTGATGGCAAATAATACTAATTTTATCAAAGCATGTATTTTCAATGAATCCATGTTCAAATATTTGGATTTCATACGACTTTAAATTTAGGTGATATATGATGGATTCTCTCCAAGTGAAAGTGACCGACACGCAATTTGCATTTGTACTGAGATACAGTAACTAATATTCACGAATGTTTCGAACGACTTGTATCTATAAATGAAATTTGATTTTGGGCTACCTGACTATAAATCCAAGAGAAGAGCGTCAACATCCATCAATTTGCTCGTATAAACTGTGANAATTGAAATGACAACTCTTGTCCACTGAGTAGTTTGCCTGTTGTGTCAACATGATTAGGTTTTCAGTTCCAAAATGTCACCACTATTGTTAACTTGTCAAGTATTTGTTGCCAAAGCTACCCTACCTAATCTTCAAGTTTCAAGATTCATTTCCAGAATTGAATTTAGAGAAATTCTTTTGAATCATTTCACTTGTTCCAAAATTTAAATTTTTATTTAGGTAATTAGTCAGAAAGCCATTTTGGAAAATTGTGTAAAAGCCAGTCAAGCCACCTGTAATTAAAACCAAAATGCCTGTGCTTGTGGATAATTTTACCCAGTTGCCATTCCTATGGTCCTTGTCTAGTTTCTTCAAGAAAAATTAATGAAATTGACACATTTATTTCTAATTTTTAAAATATGCCTGTGAAACCATCTATATTGCCCAATAATTTCAGAAAATTTGCTTGATATTCTGTATTG